CTGAAGCTGAGTATATGGCTCTAACTTCTGCAGCTAAGGAGTCTATTTGGCTCAAAGGCCTAGTAGGTGAACTGGGTATTGCACAGGATTTTGCTACAGTGTATTGTGATAGTCTAAGTGCGATTTGCTTAGCTAAAGATCAAGTACACCATGATCGGACGAAGCACATTGATGTCAGGTATCATTTCTTACGTACTGACAAGAGGATTAAGGTGAAGAAGATTGGGACTGCTGACAACCCGGCTGATTTCTTCACTAAGCCTGTTCCGTTTAGCAAGTTTAAACATTGCTTAGACTTGCTAAATATTGATTACTACGTGATGTAGTAGGCCCTGAGGGGCGAAGTTGGGGAGCTCCTGGTGTAGGTGTGTTGGCCTTAAGGTGGAGCTTGCCCGGGGCTTGTGATGCAAGTGGAGCATTATGAGTTGTTATACTTGGAGACGAGTATGTGATGGGTCTTGGTTGAAGACTTATCGGGATGTATGGCTTATGCATGAGTCCTGCATCGGGTTTGGCTTGAGATGTTTTTTCACTATGTCTTGATGGGGTCGTTTGCTGACTACGAGTTCTCGTCAAGGTGGAGATTGTTGATAAGTATATTAGGTGACTCGTACTTCGTAGCTTTGTCCGCCCGATCGGGCGGACATTGCCCGGTCTGACCGGGCGGAAGAAGAAGAGGTGCCTGGCAAATTCGTTGAAGAAGCTGCTCTCGCGCCCGACCGGGCGAGCCTTCGCCCGACCGGGCGAGCCTTCGCCCGATCGGGCAGACCTTGCCCGGTCTGACCGGGCGGTGGGGGTTGGATACGTTGAAGCATTCGTATGGAGTTTTCTTCTCGCGCCCGATCGGGCAGACCTTGCCCGGTCTGACCGGGCGGAGAAGGAAAAATACGGAACGCGGATTTTGCGGTTTTAGGTTATCTTATTTTATTATCTTTTTGCCCAAGTATCTTTTAATTAGGGATTAATATAAAACCTCCCTAATATCAGTATTAGGGTGAAGAGAGACAGAGTGAGAGCCGTTCTTGAGAAATACAAGAATCATCTTTGTAATCTTTGCAGTTTATAGTGAAATCATTCGATCTCGGTGCCCGTGGACGTAGCTATCACATCGATAGTGAACCACGTAAATTCTTGGTGTTGTTCTTATTGTTTGCATTGAATTTCTTTATTGTTTTCTTGTTTGTTTTCGACCTTTGCTTCCGCTGTCGCACAACACCATCAGCTTATTACTCGGAAGGTACAAATTGAACTCTGTTACTGCCACTGATTCTTGAGTCAACATCATTTCCATTTCACAACTTTCCCCCTTGCATGTATTCAAGTGTTGAACACTGCTTTGCATCCACTGCCATAAATGGCCATCTTGTTGTCCCAAGAAAAACAAATTTAACTTGTCAATTATGTAGGTTAGCAATGGCACACATTGAATCTCATTATAGAGAACAAAGTAACCTATGAGACGATTGGCGGCTTCAGCAATAGCATCTTGTTCCTCATCCATCAAGGAAAAAAGAAGGTTAATTCCCTCAATTAGAGCATCCAACTTCAGTGGCACCTCCCACTTATACCACTCATTAATAGCATTTTGAAATTCAATCTGAGCTTCTCCAAAACTCTTGATTAAAGTGAAAACAGGAATGTAGTAATTGGCATAAGGCGACGATGCTCGCCTTATGTCAAAGAGTAAAACTCTCCTCAATGCTTCTTGAGCTGCTTGTGTAACCTTCGTAGCAATAGAAGAACAAGCCAAAAGGCATAGCAAACCATACAGTATCCCAACTTGTTTTGTAGTGTCAAATTTGTACCAAACCTTAGCAAGTTCAGTATCACAGAATTTCGATATCAAATTATCCGCAGCAACTTCATGAACATTAAGCTCACAACTCTCATCATCATCCTCCTCTGCCACAATACAAGCTACAATGGATAGGTAGTATATTTTTTCAATTGAATCCGCAACCAAAATATCATGAAATAGTTTCTGAACTGAAAAGTGGAAAAACAAGAATTTCAATATATAATTCATTGCAATCCCAATCATATATATTAAATTTCAAAATTCATCCAATAGTGTAAATCTCATTAAATTAATATTAACAGTATACAACAAACTCAATTATTCATAGTTTATACGTACTCAAGGACTCTAATAAATTATGACCTAGATTTCACAATTAAGGTACAGTAGAAATTATCATCGATCACAGATAACGAAACAGAGTAATTCATTGCAACCTACATTCTCAAGTAGCTAACATCTATGCAATTCTAGGAGCTATTTATGTAAATAATACAGCAATTATATACTACGTATGAAGTAAATACTACAGCAATTACGTATGAAGTAGTACCTAAAATAAGAAATTGAATCTCATAATCTACAATAAATTAAAGCTAATTCGTTCCTAATTTGATCCGAAATATATTAGGAGGTTTGTTATGACATATCAACTCTGCTACTTCTCCGATAAAAGCGATCGAATCAAAAATGTAGCCAAAATTTTTCAATCAAACAATTATTCAAATGATTCTAAGTGTTGTACATGCAATAACACTAGTAGAGATATGTGGTGAGATAAAATCAATATCAAATGTGATGATAATAGATGATTAGTCAAGCTGATTAACTTATATTTTAGGTTAAACTCAATGAATAAGATAATTAAATGCAATGAATAAGCAATATGATCAAATGAATAATGCAATGAATAAGCAATATGATCAAATGAATAGATTATAATTGATTCGAACAATTGATTTTACGTACCTCCAATTGTTTGTGGTTCTTCGTTATCTTTCTCTTCCATTTTGATCACTTTCTCTCACTAAAATTTTGTTGTTTTTGAATTTCACTAAGATTCTAGTGTTTTCAATTCCCTCTCTCTGCTTTTATAGGAGTAAAAAATTTGAATTTGAGCTGAGTAAGACTTGTATATTTCCCGGTTTATTACGTATGAGGCTTGATTTTTTTTTTTTTTGGAATGATTAATATGATTAAATAAAATATATTTCCTCTATTGTTTTTAATAGCATCAATTTTTTTAAAGGGAGATCAATTTTGGGTGGTTAGGTTCCAAACCCCTCCCAATTGTTGTTGTGGAGGATCGAACATGAGTGCTTCCTACCAAATGCACTCTCAATTACCACAACACCAACAACCAATTGGACAATTGGTACTAATTGTACTATTTTTTCATTTGAGTGATTTATTCACTTTTTACTTGTATTCATACATCAAAACTTCTTAACTATCCTTGTGAATACTCTATTTCTATTTTATGACTTGCTCCATTTCTCCAGATACAGAACTAGGAAGAATAATAGAAAATATTTTTTAATGATAGAAGTAGGCTTTGTTGATTTTTTTCAAAAAGAAAAAATCTAAAAAAGCAAAAATGAGTAAAGTTGGAAAAGCTATAGAAAATGAAAAATATTAAAATGTAATATGAGAGATATATTGAGAAAACCACTAGTGAAAAAGAAAATAGCAAAATACTACAGAGCATTAAAAGTTTTCAAAAATGGAAATGGAGCAAGTAATGTTGTACAGCTACAAAACAAAAGTGAAACAAGTGAGTATTTAAATACAAAGGGAGTATTTGATCCGTGTTTTTTTTTTTAAGTGTTACTCTTACCAAATGCAAATGTGTTTTATTAAATGGTACACTTTCTTTTTTGGCAAAAACCTACTTCCTCAGTTTTTTAATACGTGCAACACTTTCCTAAAATAGAATTGTCATAATACTTGAAACACATTATAAATGAAAAGTCAATTTGGGTAATTGGTATCCTTATCAAAACTCATGACCCACTAAATTATACTCTTTTCAATCTCTTACACTATTTAATTAATTTAAATTATATGAACTCTACTTTTCTTAAATACTAAGAAAAGTAGGGGTGTCAGTCCAAGGCTGTACCGGTCCAACCTGGACCAGACGGAAGACCGGAAATTAGAATTTCAAAAACCGAAGACCGAACCAATTAAGCTAGGACCGGACTCGAACTGGACCGAAAACTATAATGATAGCACATTTTCATTATAATTTATAAGCTACTCCTAAATCAATATATAAAATGTACGAGATTACTATACATTTTCTATTGTATATTATTATACTAGTTTAAGTCTCGTGCCACGCACGGTATTTACTAAATTATATTAATTCAATGATAACTTTTGTAAAATAATATTTTGGTGGTTGTTTTATGGTAAGATTATATTAATTTTCCCTATTGAATAAGATTTTATTGGTATGTTTATAGATGTAATCATGTAAAGCCTTAGTAGTTCCTCCCGCGAAAAGGATTTCTTATTGTTCCAATTTTTTCTTTTTCAAATTTTTTTTTTTTTTTTTTTTTTTTTTTTTTTTTTTTTGTAGGTCTTAGAAAGTGAACCTCTTTGACGACTTGTAGCGAAAATAACACTACATACATCTTTGCAAATTTCATAGCCTAGCATGTTTTTCCAATCAAACAATGATTAAAATACTTGTGTTTAGGTTCCAGCATTGTGGAACTTATCGATGAAAAATCATTTGTTTGCACTGTAACTTATCAATGAAAAATCACTTCTTGTAAACAGCTAAATTTCGTACTTGTCAAAGACTATTTAAAGCGGTCTTAAATTTAATTTTGCACAAGGTAAGCATAAACTGTTACACAGTACAGCGAGTATTGACGTATTGAGCAATTTCAAAAACTTCATGTGTGTGAATAAATGGTAAATTTGCCGCCAAAAAAAAAAAAAGGATCATATGACTTGTATACAGAAAACCGATGTTTTACCAAGTTATGACAAACTTAAATAATTTTTTTTGGTGGAACAAACTTAAATAATTAGTGTTGCAAATTTGCAAAACTTCTTATGGTTCCTGTCAATGGGTTTTAATTTTTTTTTTTTTTAAAAAAAATAAATAAAAAATAATAAAAATAAAAATAAAAATAAATCACAACTCATAGTGATTCAAAGCAAGACCAATGTACATCCTCGGCTTCTAGCAAAGCAGATCGATCAAGTAACCCAACTTATATAGATTATCCATCTGAATATCTGATTATAAAAGCACAAACACCAAACGCTCATAAGTGCTAATAGTTAAATCCATATCATACTATACATTTGCTACAAAAGAGCAAGTCAACAGAAAACAGTGAAAACATCAAGGCATTAGCTTAAAGGTTTTACACATGACAGATTACATATATCATGCTAACTATAGCCAGAAACAGAACCAGTTAACTTCTCGCCTTCTATATTATGCAACAAGAAAGGGAAGAACGGTGAGCATGAAATCCTCATAAGTAAAAGTTGCTGAACCGCTGTAATTCTTGTCTTTCTCCTTGAACTTCTCTGTTAGACCCTGCAGCAAGCACAATATAGATAAACAACTTGATATTATAAAATTAACGTATCTGAAATTATATTTCTAGGGCTGTAAGAGTATTTTAAAACAGCAATAACAGCCCCATTGCCAAATTAGCATTCAGAAAATCTCCTGCAGTAACGTGGCTATTGTCTACATTCTCAAATTTCTTGTCGGATTTCGATTTTTAAATATGCATATTTCCTACTTGCATTTACTCAAAAACTAGTTTTTTCAAGAAACAGAAAGAGACTAGTAGCAAGACTTGCAAATGGTACAAAAGGAGGGGATCTAAGGGGCATGGTATAAATTGAAGCCTGTGTGCATGATAACTACAAATCCAGGGACGTTTCCAGAAGAAAATTAGTTTCTTAAAAAACCAATTACCAAGTAGGCTAGTACGCAATCCAGAAAATTAAATAAAATCCATACACGCCAAATCAATCAGAAAAAAGAAGGATAACTAAAAGGAAAAATAGCATCTCATGCAAATGAATCTAAAACTATAATGAAAACAATCCATCTTCCGTAGTTCAAACATGGAACACTTGAACACAAAAACAAAATCCTGTGCGTAACCACCAAGAATGTGCCAAAATCAAGAATACAGGAGAGTAGAGAGCCTTGAGCAGAAGACTAGCCTCAAATTATTACTTGCATATGGCATGACACAAATGCATGAATTTGGTAAGTTGGGAATAAAAATTTAAGTTTTACAGTCAAAATACAAACTAGAAAAAGATGGAAAAGAAAGAACAAAAGGTTACCTTCACGGTGAGGCAGCATCTGCAGCACAGAAAATAGATAATTAGAATTGCTAACAAATAAAAATATTTAAATACTTCGTATGTAAAATATATATAATCTACAGTAATTCCAGTAAAATCAAAATCAGTAACATACTCGATGAAGTTATCATATTCGATGGCCTTGCTCTTTCCCCCAGTCTTATCAAACTTAGAGACAAGCAAGTCCAAGATTACAGGGGAGACAGAAAATCCAAGACCATATAACGCATCACGCAGCTCTGAAGCATCTACCTTGCCACTTCTGTCTCTATCATATCTCTCAAATATTTCCTGGAGAACAGTCAAACAAAAATTGATGCCACTAGTTAGTATTAATTTTCCATAAATAATCCATGGTACAGTAATATAATTTTTGAATAACATACCCTCCAAGACTGCAGACTGTAGAACAGGGTAATAAACTCCTTAGGACCTGCACAGATATGTGGATGTTAATGGGCAGTAATTAACTTCAATTTATGACAAATATCATTTTATTTTGTACATGTCCTGTACTCTCGTAGGTAGCAAGAATGGAACAATGTTTCGAGCAGTAGTGAAGTATCACTTTAATAAATAAAGCACCACAAATAAAGGAGTTACTATGAGATCAAATATGGGTGTGAACTATGAACACATCATCAACTTTTAAAAGATATTATAACTTCTTCAGCTAAGATAATTGGCTTCAAAGCAACCAAGAATTGATATTGGGCTCTAAGTCATATTTTAATATAACCTTTCTTTGGGATACTTTCATAGCATAACTTTAAACTTGTCCAATAGATATTTTAATATCACCTTTCTTCGGGATACTTTCATAGCATAACTATAAACTTGTCCAATAGAAAACTTAGGGCCCTTTTACAAAAAAGCTAAACTAGAGGTACAAAAAATAAAAATAGACATCTGGGTCCATAAAATCATATCCGTCTTTGCATTTGGAACAAAAAGAAACATTATTTGACATTAACCCCAAACAGTACTAATGCAACTGGCTATAACCCAAAGAGACTGCCAAGTGACACGATGATCAAAACAAAGCATCTTTTTATTAAAACTTAGTGTATTCACAGTTTACTTCAATGTAGCAGAACCCCTTCTCTTTCTATTGAGATAACATTTCCATCTACTGTAACACATTATCGTTCACCACCTAAATTTATAACAACCAACAACAAAAAAGATGCAAGTGCTAGCATTCTAGTTCTCCACAAAGATCAAACCATGAATGTTGTTAAAGAATGTAGACACTCAATTACTCACTTTTTTCAACAGAAAAAAGCAATAACACTAACCACTAATGAGAATTTTGCCACTAATATGGTCTAAATCCCAAAATTCACGAAATAAGCGTAAAGGCCTAAAGGGTGTGCCATCAAGTACTTCATTGACACCCATCCCTTATTTTTTTTCCTTATTACATAAAAAAGGTAGCCAAATGATAATATAGTATACCCATTATGAGCTCAAATTCCTAAGTCATCATTTCTAGAGTTAATTTACAGCAGTATTCAATTCTTACCACCTATATCTTCTACTTTAACTTCGTTAGAGTCCAAATACACTACCAACAAGCTTAATTTATTCAAACCAAATCCAATTACAGACTAATGTGGAGCCCGTTTACAGTCCTAGAATACAAAGACAGAAAGACTACTCTAATAATGGACTAATTCGTCATTTTTACACCTAATACAAGAACCCACCATTAGTTTACACCAACCTACAAACGTGTAGCATTGATTAAGATCCAAAAATATCCCAATTTCTGCCACATTCTATTCAAGAATTATCGAATTTCTCACCCAGGATAAATAATTAAATAATGAATTCTATTACATGCAATCCGCTAAATACAAACATCATTCTTACTCCGTATGATTTAACTATTATAAAGTCTCATTAGCATATTAAAGAAACATAATCTTGTTGAAAGGTCTCAATATGTATTTTCAAATTATTAACTGTTAATAACTATTTAACAATATACAAATAAAATACTCCTTGCATTCACTGTCAAAACAATTATTTTGAAATGGTGCCACAATTGTTCAAAAAGCCGTAATAAAATCACGATTAGTGTAATTAATTTGAACAAGAACAAGGACATAAAACAATTCAATTTGAAATAAAGATGAATGAACACCAAAATCAAAAAGTAGGAGAAAGAAAACATACCAATTTTGCGAGAATCGGAGCTAGTGAAGAGGTACATAAGAAGATGAACAGTACGAAGACTAAAACTCTGATTATAAGAAGACAAAGCCCTCTGAAGCTCCTTATCATCAATCAACCCACTACCATCTTGATCAGCAACCTGAAAACACGCCACCACATTCGGGTCAGTACCCGGAGGAAAAGTCGACGGTAGCAGCGACGCAAATGGGCTGGACCCATGACCCGGAGGAGGCGGATAAGCCGACCCATGACCCGGCGGCCCATATGAAGGTTGAGGAGGCCCGTAAGATGAAGGAGGAGGGGCCCCATAAGATGAAGGGTGGTTATCTTTAGGGGGCTTATCGGGTTTAGACCCATAAGAAGGTGGGGCCGAAGGGGTGGAGCCGTAGGAGGATGGTGCGGCGTAGGGATGAGCGGTTTGAGGAGGTGGGTGAGAATGGGTTGAGCCGTAGGGTTGGGGTTGGTTGGGTGGTGGTGCGCCGTAAGGTTGAGGTTGGTTAGGTGGTGGTGCACCGTAGGGTTGGCCGTAGCCGTAGTTGGGTGGGTTGTGGGGGTAGCCTGACATTGTTGATCGGTGTGATTGGAGGAGAGAGAAAATTGGGATTATCGGAATTTGAATGAAATGGGAGGTGTTGTACTTGCTATTTATTGGAGTAGTTACGACTTACGCGCTTGCGCCAGGATTTGGGTCAAAACTCAAAATAGGTTGATTAATTTACAAATCATAGTACTCTACTACTCTTAACGTCCTTGTAAGTAGGGGTGAACATGGTTTGGTTTGGTGCGGTTTGAGTCCAAACCAAACCAAACCGCAAAATACAGTTTGGTAAATTTTTCAAACCAAACCAAACCATATTAGTATTGAAACCAAACCGTAATAATACGGTTTAGTGCGGTTTGGTTTGCGGTTTATGATGAGATGATTTTTTTTTTTCCCAAAAATTGTCAAATAATACTTCACTAATTTATAATAATGTTTAAATAAGTAGCCCAAACGGATTAAATTGTACTACAAAGTTACAATAAAAATATCAAGTGCTAACACATAATAAAAATAATACATAACAATAAAAGATATTCATATGAGTACTACATTATAGTCATTAATTATAGAGTATTGACGGTATAGTTTTTATCTATTTTTCATGGTTTTTTATTTATTCTTTAATTTTTTTTATATAATATAAAAAAAATTATTGAAAAATTATATAAATATTAAAATACGGTTTATTGGTTTACGGTTTGGTTTGGTTTATATTTTTTGCAAAACCAAACCAAACCATAAACCATATTTACAAAAAAATCGAGACCAAACCGTACTTTTATAAACCGTAAACCAAACCAAACCGCTAAAATACGGTTTGGTCTGGTTTGGTTACGGTCCAGACCAAACTGTGTACAGCCCTACTTGTAAGTTATAAAAGCGATTTTATCACAAGTTGTTTGCGCGTCAGTATGTTTTGTCCATGGAGAGCCTATCATGTACATCCGGTTATATGGTACACTCTGGATCATATACTCATTCAATCAATAAATGAGTAAAAATATTATTTGATTAAATGAACAAATGATCGCGGGTGACGAGTGTACGGTACACTTGAATGTATATAACAACTTCTAGTATTGAGGGACCATGGGTGTGTTTGGTTATTATTTAATCGGGAAAAAGTATGAAATATTTTATACATACTCGGGTATATTGTGCACCCTATTAATTCAAAGTTAGTTTTTGTTGTTCACTTGATGATTAAATAAAATTCAATATCAAAATGAGAACAAAATGTTCATTGATTTACCATACACCCGAATGTATAAAACAACTTTTAGAAACCATAAAATACAATAAGTGAAATTTGACATGAAGGAGTGTATTGTACTATTGTACTCCCTAAAGTAAATGTTTGGGTTGTCATTTCAAGTTATTATGGGTTGGGTTGAGGCTATAGCCATTTCTTAGCTCACATGCACCACACAGGGCACAATTTAATCAGTCAATGCCATCTTAGTATCTTACCCATTGGTTTCTTTGTTAAGTACTCCGTATTTTATTTTATTTTTTCGCTTGTGTAGGGAAGAGGTATAAAATACCAATTGAGAGTTCCTATTTATTATTTTATATAGTTTATAATTTTATATCTTAAATAATAAATATTGATATTTAAAGAAAACATGATGCATCGCTCTGACCACACACTAGTCATTAGTCATGATATTAAAAGAACGGAAGAAGTATTATTTCTAACCTTACATAGAGACAACTTGCTCAGGTGTACATTACAGTGCCTTAGCATGGAGGAGAAGCAATAAATGATGTGTTATCCCGTGTTTTCACTCCCTATTAGTTGGCCACCTAACTAGGCAAATAAACTTTTTTTTTCAAATTAGAAACCATCATAATACAGCTTCTAAATTTCTAGTCAAGATTAGCCCCCATCTGTCATGGAAACCACCCAGATATGTGTAATTGTATTTTGCATTCGTAATATCTTTGTGTCAATATCAAGATGCTCCTTCACTTCAACCTCAGAAGAGCGAGTAATTTAACTTCAAGACAAATTTAGATTGAATGAGAAAATAAGATCAAGTTACATAAAGTACTACTATACAACAGTTACCATCAGCTCAACCAAATCTATCCTATTATCATGTTCATGACTGGGTGCCTCGCTCATCTGGACATCTTCACGCAGAATTGCTTGTTAGGTTCATAACTCCCAAGTACAGTTTACTCAATTCTGCATAACAAGGGGGAGAAAATTATCTTAAATGATAGAAAATCAAACCATGTGCAATTCCTGAACAATATAAATGAAGGCAAATCAAACCATGTGAAATTACTGAACAAAACCATGATCATTAACTAATTTGTACTGGTTGCATATTTGAAAATTAAAATGCCATAATCAAGAAGAAAATTTGAATGGATTCATTTTATTTCACTTGGGAATTGGGAATTGTTCTGTTTCCTGAACAAGATGGCTAGGATATTCCGTTTATGGTAGCATAGAGCTATACCTTATTCAATTTAAGTGATTTTGATGCAGCATACACAACACATGCAGCTTTATTGATGTATTCACTTAGGATGAGCTATACCTTATTCAATTTAAGTGATTTTTATGCAGCATACACTAACATATACAGCTGAATTGATGTATTCAGCTAAGAGACTGCATGACAAGCCACCTCTACAAAATCACCATAAATGAAGGTAGCAGCCAGCGACTACTTTATTCATGTTTGGAAAGTTCAATGACATTCCTTGGTATAAATTAGCTTCATTGTATGGCTTAACTAAGTGAGATACTCCAGTTTTATACTTTATGATACAGGACAACAGGAGAATCATCCCCAAAAGCTAGCTCAAGGGGAGGAGAGCCCATTGTCCTATATAAACCCCACATCAGCCCTCCATATGACCAATGTGGGACTCAAGTCCCAGACCTTGCAATGGACCGTAAGGTCCGTAACACTTTATCCATGTCGGAAATTTTCATGACATCATCAGACTAGCAGAATATAGCTACACCATCTTAAAACAGAGTCAGTAATTCACATCTTACATGTGAGTAGTATATTGAGTAAGTTACTTCACCATGACAATGAGACAGAATCTATATGTACCAAAAACCAGAAGCAGGTAATATATCCAAGAAAATCATGCAAACTTATTCCGGGAAAAGATGGTAGAGAAATTGAATGAACTTTGAACTTTGTAATATAAGTTTAATAAACTACCTGTTGAACTCCATCCAAGGTCAAATGAGATGCTCCTCCTCAATCAGGAACACCTAAAGCATAGTGCTTATTTTACAATTTGTTTCTCAACTTTCTGGTACAAAGCGATGTTTGGTTCTGTTAGTCAAGGAAAACAATACATTCATATCCTTGGAAAACAAAAATAGAAAACTTGCAAATCATAGATCATTAAACAAAGAATTTTATCTAACGAATCAATTATTCATGTCAAATCAAATAGCCAAAGAACCTAAAAGTGAGAAGCATCAAGAAGAGAGGAAAAAGGGACTTATACAATCAAATGCAAGCATGCATGATAATAATGAGCCGATTTACAGTAATTAACTAAATAAATGGCAATGCATATGAAAGAAAAAAAAAACACACACACACACACATGCAAGACACTAGATAAAATTATGGTTTGAAAATCTTGATCAAATAATTGATAGGTGATGAGTACCAAGTATTATATAGATATTCTAAAAAAAAAAAAAGTATTATATAGATATGAATCCTTCACTCAACGAGTCAACGGTATTAAATGGACAGTGATTGTATTTATTCCTATTTGCTAGAGAATCAGATGACCAGACAAAATTTGGTCACATCAACAGTAATTCATTTTCTTATTGAGTAGTGTGGAAGCCAAAGCCCAGAGGATCAAAGCTCATACCTGAAACTCTTCCTGGTGGAACAAAGTTTTAAATGACATCAAGTTGCATCATTTTTTGCATCAGTCAGTGTAAGGGATGAATTCCTGAAGGAAGCAGGTGTATAGTTAAGCTGATAATTGACTAGTGTTGACCCAAAAATGTTAAACATTGCAGCACTACTATAAGCAACTTCAGCATCTGAACGCTTCTTAAAAACCACTCTAGCACGACTGCTTTGTGGATCTACTTCTGTCTCAGATTCCTTTAGAGGCCCAAAACGCCTGAACATTTTGTTCAAATTCACCTCTGAAAGAGCAGAACTCATCTCACCAAAGTTCAGCATGAGCTCTGTAGGCAGGTCCAGCTTCTTCTCATCCCTAGTTGGCATCTCAGGGGCTGATTCATGATTGTCATGATGATATTGTTTCCTGGAATACTTCCTACGATTTTGTCGAAGAGGCTTCTCAGGATCACCAGAGACAAGCTGTTCATCCTTTTTCTTACGAGCACGTCGCACCGGTTTAGCTTCACCGCTATCTTGTATAACCATGTCGGGCCAATAGGAATCGTTTCTATCATCAAATTCAAAAGTTTCTGGGGACCCAACAACAGGAGCAGAAGACTTTCGTTTTCTGCCAGACCCTTTGCGCATCTTTTGTCGCTGAGTTGTGACGGCTAAATTTCTAAATTCAGAGAAAAAGCTGATTATGTTACCCAAGAAGCTGTATCCTTTCATCGGATCTCGAGCACATAAGTGAAGCTGTGAGAGCATATCATCCAAAGAAGACTCCTTTGATGGTGTTGGTACGCTTTCAGTTAAAGCATCATCAGGAGATTCTGATACTTCATCAGCATCATCTCCTGAATGCTTGTTGCTTCCTTCACTGCAGCCTTTGATGATTGCAGCTGATCCAGTCAGCTGGCTTGCAACTCTACGAATACATTCACCAACTTTAAAGGATTGCTGCGGATTTGGAGATGCTGTATGTGAAACCTTAGCTAGAGAGATAGTTTTTATGCTCTTCTGAGCTTTAGAATCATCTGTGAGAAAACCTGAACCTTTTCGCTTTGCACCAGCAAACACAGCAGTTGGAGAAGTCAAATTTATATCATCTTCCTCATGTGAATCAAATTCACCATCAAGGTAATACTCACCCATTAATTCTGTCATGCTTTTTTCTTTTCTCCTTTGGTACACAATATCTTTCAAATCGTGTTTACGTTTATGAGGGCCTTTCTTGGCATCTGCTTCGGTCACTAAATCTGAATGCTCATTCTCACTTGACATCTTCTGATCCCCAAAAAGTGTATTATCGTACTCCACCAACCCTTCACAATACTGGAACTCGGGTAATGCATCACAACCTTTCTGTCGATTAAAAGCTAATAACTGTGATTTTGCTATCGTAAGCTCAAGCCGGTCAGCTCCACTGGTTGGAAAAAGTGCAAGTCTCCTTACATACTCTGCGAGTTTATCAGGTTGAAAAGAATCCAAGTCGGTAGATCTATCTACTCCCTCCCTTTTCCTTGACCCTTCCCTTATCCCAGTGTTTTCAACTATTTGATATCTGATATTGTCATAGGCTTCTTCAGAAAAACAAGAACAGGCTAGCCCCAATTCCACCCTTCTAGCAACTTCTTCCAAAGCACAACTCACTGCATTTTGGAATGCTTCTGAATTGTTTTGCCTCTCTGCCTGGGGGAAATGATTCCTGAATGGCTTTAACACTGATGCTTCATTCCACGCAAATGTCCGATCTCCAAAATATGCCACCAAATAGCAATCCTTTCGATAATATTTCATAGCCTTCTCAGAGGAATCAGATGGATGAAATATTTGCCCAGGCCACCAAGGATGGCTCTTCACCTTACCCCATACCAAGTCAAAGACTGCAAAATCACCTTCAACTTCTGGGGGTAGCTGATAGCTAACACGGCAATCTTTTGTCAAGCTTCCAGATTTTAAAGATGAACGTTTACCATTCTTTTCTTCTTTGCGCCGAAGCTTTGCTGAATGAGAAATCAGCTCCTGATCTTCTTGTTCCTCAGATGACTCGTCTGCTTCATTACTGGCAGCTTGTTCTTGCACTTCCTGTACATCCTCTACGTTTGTTTCGACCTCAAGAACATCACCTGTTGCCATATGTTCCAGGTGGTCAGTCACTGATGAGTCTGGTTCATATTCCAGTCCTTGATCTACACCTTTAACAAATGACTTGACAGGCAAAGGTGGTTGTTCAGAAGCAGCATCGTCTCCATACTCTGTATCTCCAACTTGTATAGGACTAGAATGTTCACAAGAAACATCATCTTCATATTCTCTATCTCCAATTTGTATAGGACCATAATCCAAATCTACCCCTGGGCTACCTCCAACACAAACGTCAGGAACTTCTGGTTCCTCAAGAGCTACATTAGTTTCCATATTTTCAGAAACCAAATCCTGATCTAATTCTTGTTCTTCAGGCAACTCAATTGCTTCAGCATTGGCAGCTTGCTCTTGCACCTCCTGTACATAATGTGTGTTTGTGTCAACCTCATGAACTTCGCCTAATGGTACATGCTCCATGTTCTCATCCAATAAGGAGTCTGCTTCATATTCCAGTCCGTTATCTCCACCTTCAACAAATGACTTGATAGGCAAAGATTGCTGTTCAACAAAAGCATGGTCTCCAAATTCTCCATCTCTAACTTGTCCGAGACCAGAATTGAAGTTTGTCGCTGGGCTGCCTCCAATGGAAACATTGGGAACTTCTGATTCCTTAATAGAAGCAATTTCTGCATCCATCTTTTTGCAAAGCACCTCACAATCTTCTTCTTGTTTGTCGGGCAATATTGCTTCCACACCAGCAATTTGTTGTCGTATTTCTTTAGCATTCTTCATGTTTATGTCAAGCTCAGGAATGTCACCTGTTGCTCTATGTTCCAGGAGTTCAGCCACTGGAGAGTCTGGAATTTGATTTACACCTTTACAAATTGAATTAACTTGCAAAGCTGGTTGTTCATAAGCAGTATTACCTTCACATTCTCTAACTTGCCTGACACCGGTATCCACGCCTGCCACTGAGCTGCCTCCATTGGATACGTTAGAAATATCTGGTTCCAAAATTGGAACTTTTACTTCCACGTTTTCACAAACCAGATCCTGGTTTACATTTTGTTGTTTAGGAGACTCGACTACTTCCATAACGGCAGCTTGTCCTTGCACATTCTTAATGTTTTCAACATCTGAGTCAACCTCGCCAATGTTACCTGTTGTTATATGTTCTAAGTGCCTGGCAATTGAAGAGCTTGATTCATGTTCCTGTCCATGATCTAAATCTTTATTAATTGAATTGATTGAAAAAGATGGTAGTTCTCCATTACTTCTATCTTCAGCTTGTCTGGGACCAGAATCCAAGTCCAGGTTGCCACTAATAGAAACATCTGGAACTTCTTTTTCCACAGCGTGAACTACTTCTGCATCCCTATTACCAGAAACAAGTTCCCTGTCTACATCTTGTTCCTTTGGCAATGTGGTATTGGCAGCTTGTTCTTCCATTTCCTTAACATCCTCGATCACCACGTCAACCTCACGTAAATCATCAGTCGCCCTATATTCCAGGTTCTCAGCCACTGAAGAGCCTGCTTCATCTTCTAGTCCATAATCTGCACCTTTATCAAATGAATTCACGGGTATAGGTGGTTGTTCAGGTGTAGGAAGGGCTCTGTTTTTTCTATCTCCAGCTTGACCAGGACAAGGATCCAAATACAGGCTGCCATCAAGAGAGACATCAGGAACTACTTCAACATTTTTTGCTTCCACCGTTTCAGATATCAGTATTCGATCTACTTCATGCTCTTTGGGCAACACAAATGCTTCAGTATCAGCAGCTTGTTTTTGCACTTTCTCCAAAACCACCATCTCTGAGTCAACTTCATGAAAATCAACTGTCGTTCTATATTCCTGGTGCTCAGCCACTAAGAGGCTAGATTCACATTCTGGTCCGTGATCTACAGCTTCATCAAATGATTTGACTGATGAATGTGGTTTTTCATCACCTGTATTGTCTCCATATTCTCTAACCCCAACTTGCTTGGCATCAGAATCTAAGTCCATGCTGCCTCCAATAGTATCATCAGGAACGTCTTTTTCCACAATAGGAGCTGCTTTTGCATCCATCATTTCAGAAAGCAGCTCCTTATTTACTTCTTGTTCTTTAGGCAACTCAACTGCTTCAGTATCTACAGCTTGTTCTAGCACTTCCTTTACATCTTCCATCTCTGAGTCAACCTTATGATGATCAACTGTGGCTCTATGTTCCAAGACCTCCATCACGGATGAATTAGGTTCATATTCTTGTCCGTGGACAGATGGCTTCACTAGCAAAGACAGTTGTTCATTAACAGCATGGTCTCCAATAGAAACACCAGAAACTTCTGTTTTCGCAACGGAAACTACTTTTAAATCCATCATTTCAGGAATCGACTTATGATCTTTTTCGTGTTGTTCAGAAAGCCCAACTACTTCAATTTTAGCAGCTTGTTCTTCTACTTCCTGCAAATCCTCTATATTTGCGTCGACCTCAAGAACATCATCACATGATCTATATTTCAGGAGGTCAGCCACAGGTTCAGATTCCAATCCTTGATCTATGCCTGCACTAAATGACTTGACTAGCAAAGGGGGTTGTTTACAAGCAACATTGTTTTCATATTCTCTCTCTCCAACTTGTTTGAAACTAGAGTTGCCTCCAACAGAAAAATCAGGAACTTCTGTTTCCACACTATGAACTATTTTTGCATCCATCTTTCAAAAGTATTCATCCGACAATGCTAAACTTCACTCCTATAATCACAAAATGTACACACATGTTGCAAACTATAAGCATGCTAGAATAAGATTTGAGATATTAAAGAGATTCAATTTAACAAAGATATCACACACGTACTTTATGTCCTTTGTAAGCTAAAATTTTATCAGCTTTGTCCATGAGGGATAAAAGCTCTAATAAGGAGAGTTGCATGCTCAGATGCTCAAAAGCCTTCTAGAACTGCTTTCAACACTCTGAAACAGTGTACATTGATGATCAAAATTAATTAGAAATTAAATTATAATTATTTGAGAATATATTGTCAAAATAGATAACTAGTCAAAAGAAACACATTTCCCACCGAACATATACTGTTAAGGATAATTACTCCTTCCATTTCAAAATATAAAGCACTCTAAAGCCTTGTAAGCAAACTGAAGTGGTTTAAATTGATGCATGACACATGGTAATGTCAATTGGAATAATTTATGCATTTGTATCAATATTAACCACGAACCATCCACATTGCCTATGTTAGCAGTTCCACCATCATGACTTCATCCCAATTATTATATTTTAAAATACAAAAATAAATTTAAAAATAAAAAAATACTCCCTTCGTTTTTAAATGCTTGCTCCATTTCTATTTTTTGCACTATTCATTTGTTCTACTTTGACTAATGTTTGTGATTTATACATAAGAAAAAATATAGTCTTGTGGCCGTTGTGGGTACTTGTTGGAATCTTCTCAATAAATAGATTATTAATTTTCAATTGTTAGAATTTATACTTATTGATAACTAAAGATATTAGTGATCAAAGATTAGCATCTGCATGCGTGTCCAAAAGAAATGGAGCAAGTATTTTAAAACGGAGGGAGTAATAAAGAGATAAACAAAACCCACCAATGATAAAATCTAATCGAAATTGCCATCCTCTCCAAAGTTTATTTAGTAACCAAACAATCCATCAAAGAAACAAGTCCAGGGATAAAAATTTCACCAAACAGATTGTTAAAACAAAACATCAGGTCATGTCCTCAAAACACTCATTCAAGCATAAATGGGTTCAGATAAGCTCAAAATAAGTTTGAGAAGTTCCGATAAGGGCTACCCAAGATCAACTCGCAACTACAATAAGCTCAAACAAGTGAATTTAAGTGAAAATAACACAACTTGAGAAAGAGCGCGGGACAAGGCACAACACTGATCCTGCTACTCACTAGGTTTATTTTTAATATTTTAACTAACCAAATTAAAAGGGACAAGATCAGGCCAAAAAAAACAGCTCAAATTAAACAAAAATTTTAATCAGCAAGAATAATCCTGCAAATCTGAAAAACAGCTTCAATCTAAACTTGAATTTTCTTTCTTTTCTTGAACCTAAACTTGTAAACAGCTTAAATCCAAACTAATTAGCATATAAAACAACTCTCAAAGAAAAACAACACCATTTTTACCCAATTAAGAACTATCACACAGTCGTATAGTAGCAATTCTATGCTCAATCGTTACACAAAAAGCTAACAGAAAATTAACGAACATTTCTTGAATCATCCCAAAATTCCCCTAAAATTAGCAACCCTTAATCTCAAATTACAGAAAAATCAACTAAATCAGTATAAATTAAACCGAATTGAAGAAGAAATCATACCTAATAAGCAGGCAGCAGTTCAAGATTAATGAATTCAACCAACTTAGGAGAGAGAAATTAGAGTATAAGAAAGAAGTAGAGCTAAATTTAGAGTGTTTCAGTGAGAAAATCTGGGGAAAAGATTGAAGAAAATTGAGAGAATTGATTAAGAAAAATTGAGGAAGAAGTTGACAACAAACGTAACCTAAGCTTCCTGCTCTCGAAATCGAACCCAACCTAAGCTTCGTATTCTAATCAGACACTTTTTCTCTTTCTTTTCTTTTTTTTTTTTTCTTTTTTATTATTGTCTTTTTGTAGAAGGGTAAGTCAAATGGTCAAACATTATTACAACTGTAGGAATAACTAAACTTGACTTCTTAAATTTAAAGGGCTTTTTTTCATGAAAGTGTAAAAATTGTCTGAACTCTCTTTCGAAAAAGAAAAATGAATTAACTCTGTCATTTAAGGAGAAAATACTAATTAAAATGCTAATTTTTCTTCAAAAATAAAGTAATTTTATAGTGTACAAGTAAATCGTTAAGACCACTAATAAATTCACCAAAAAAAATCACAATATTATCCAATTTTACTACCAAAAAATTACTAACAAGCAAGCTCACACTTGAGGCTTTTATAATGTAGTGGATCTTCGATAAAAAAAAACATATTCCGTATAACTAAAGTGTGACTATGGAGTGCAAAATATTTCAACACGAGAAATACATTATATGTGGAATATATACTACTTAGGTAGTTTTTTTTTTTTAATAGCAAAAATATTTCATTAATTAAAAGTCATACGACATCTACAATATAGATTCGACGTTAACAAATACATAAGACATTGAATCAAATAATATTTTCCTTCATAAAAATTACGATCGTCGAGTAGATCTTGCACTGTGGAACATCTCCCGCTTATATCGCTGGAAAATAAAGCCTTATTGGAGAGACAATCTAACGATCTTTTGTAGCCGTGAGGATATTTTTCTTCTGATTCACATGTCTGCATTCGAAAACTTGATAACTTTTTCACCAACGAAATAATTTCACGACAATCCATTAGATTTAATATCATGGATTCAAAACTACGAAATTTCTCCCCCGAAAAAAAGAGATACATCTTGTCTTTCGAAGGAGGTCGAAAAACTCTTGTCTTTCGAAGGAGATCGGAAACCCTTTCTTTTGAGGGAGAAAAGTTCTTCCCAAAAGGAGAAAGCATTATTATAAAACCTAAAAACTTAAAAAAAAAAATTAGGATTGAGACTTTCCATCGGTTAAAATCGATAGAAGCCCCTTTAAAATTTAACAATGAAGGCTAGGGTTTTGGTGAGAGGAAGGAAGAGAGACGAGAGGTTTTTTGGATAAATTTAGTTAGAAAGCTTAAATACTGAAATTACTACTTAGATAGTTAGGTACTTAAATAAATAAGTCAAAAAGAAAAAGACATCTAAAGATATTTAAAGATAGATTTGTTGCTTAGAGCAACTCCAATGGTAAGCTAATTGTGAATAAATTTGCCATGCCACCTAGGATTGAAAAGCTAATCTACCTAGCTAATTTATCCCACAATGGTTAAGCTAATTTTCAATAATTTTTTTTATTTATTTAATTTTTTTTAATTCCTACAAGTATTATTTATTTATTATTTTTTTATACACACTAGCTAATTTGTTTTATACTACAGTAATTTTTTTTTTTTTGGGTATAATAGGTAGGGTATCGTAACAATTACTTTGATAATTTCAAATTAATAAATTCGTATAATAAAAAATTTAAACATTCAATTATTTCAAAATACAGTATTCGATTAAAAACAAGAAGACTTAACAATGAAATAATTTTTTGGAATGCAAAACTACAACATTGTTCTAACAATAGCGTAAACAAGATATACAAGACATTCAATGAAAAGAAAACTAAGAAATTAAACATAATAATACACGATACTCAATTAAGAGTTTGGCCTCAAAAACAACTCCATATATGTTCCACTAGATCAACCTTAAGTTGATGATGCATTTGTCTATCTCTAATGGTTGCATCTCTTTCAAGAAATGCTTGAAAATCTAGAGGGTTTCCTTGAACAACATCACCGATAATTATTGGTGTAAAATCGTCTCGAGGACAATTTCTAGCGTATGTGTATCTTTCATCTTCAACAATCATGTTATGCAAAATAACACACGGGTCCATTATATCATGGAGCTTGCGTTTATGCCAACATCATGCAGGTCCACGAACTATTGCAAAATGAGATTGAAGTACTCCAAAAGCTCGTTCTACGTCTTTCCTTGCACTCTCTTGCTTTTGCTTAAATAGTAGCCTCTTATGGTCTTTGGGATGTGAGAATGTCTTGACAAATGCCGCCCACTCGGGATATATACTGTAACACCCCCGATTTACTAACTAATAATAAACAATAAGTAGAGGAAAAATAGACAACCTTTAAATAAAATTGCGGAAGCGTACACCTAAATCAGAGGTATTACCGCCACACTCGACAACCTGTCAAGTGTTAAGGCTTACAAAATCTCAATAATTACAACCCAATAAATCTAAGTGAGCGATTCGTACAACTTGATAAACTCCTTATAACAAACTAATCGAAACACTTGAACTCCTTTAGCTACGACCACTTGATCAACCTGCTTAGAAAATCTTGACTGCTCACCATTAAGGACAAATTCCAAAATAGATCGTCGCAGGGCCACCATAAGAAAAAGACATGGCCGCAAACATAAATAGAACAACAAAATAACACACACGTCAACAAAAAGCTGAGTAATCACCACATATCAGAATACAAAGAATAATATAACAATTAATATAATTAACTCACTTAAACAATGTAGTTCGAAACTACATTACACATTGTACTCTGGAAAATAACCTTTATCAACTCAACCTTGAATAATAATACGAACTTTTACTCAATTAACTCATATAACCCATAAGTGTGGCATGCTCTTTGTTTTATACCTAGCCTTGGACATGGGTGATTCGAATAAAACCAACAAGTATAAAAACTTGAATACTCCCAATAACCAGAAACCACCTTGAACCAGACTACATACGGGCCAATTCCCACAGTAGGGGACCATAGAAAAATAATTAATAAAGATCGTACCTCATTCTTAACTTATGATCATTATCTCATTACCAACATGTCAAGGACTAAGGTCTATAACGCCGAGCCTCAAATCAATAACAAAATAATAATCTCAACCTTTTGATCTCATACATCGATCAAGTAATCTTTCACATGATAATAAATTTTCAATATTGGCACATGTTCCCAAATAATATAATAATTAGAACTCGATCCGATCGTAGTGTATCTCAACTCTTATAGGGCTAATACTAGTACCCAAAAATAATTAATTCTCAACCCAAAAAATGATACTCTGCACTAGCAACCCTAAAACCTCGATAAAACATTACTCCCTATAACAACAACATTAAATCCTTCAAATTATAATACAATCAATATAATCAATAATACAACAAAATAATACGACAATTAAATCATATATCACAACATATTAACAATATATGCAATAATTGATCATATGAATAAAAATTATATAAACCTACACATAATAAGACGAATTATAACAAAGCCAACTCCAAGAAGATTATGTGTGATTACCTTTCCCAAAAAAAAAAAAATATCCAAACATTGAGACACCACTGATAACTGACAAAAAATTAACCACTACTCGAAAATTCAAGTCGAATGGGTTGATAAAATTAATTGTGCCAAGATTGACAACAATCACCAAATGTAATGATGATGGCCTCGTAAAATAGCTAGTTGATTATAATATAAGGGTCTCATAATGAAAGAATAATATTAGAGGACTGAATTAGAGGGAAAGCTAATAAATAAGGGTTTTTGCATAATATACGGAATGACAAACGAAGGATATAAAGAGGCAAAAATATTAAAAGGATTGACATAGAGTAACAAATATTATAAGGGTTCATAATATAGGTTATGTAGAGAGTGATGGATAGCTCAAGTGGTTAGAGCTTCCCTCCCGATTCCAGGAGATCCTGGGATCGATTCTCACCCCCGCCCTTGTGGCTCTCTAAACACCAAAAAAAAAAAAAATTAGGTTATGTAGACTCCGAAAACAGAGAGTCTACTTAAACACAAAAAAAAAAAAAAAAAAAAGGTTAATGTCATTGTGTTGATTAATATATATTGTTGGATTATTAAGGTGAGCTGGTAAAAACAACTTTCAAAAACTAATTGTGGAAAGATGTGTTATTAATGTGGTTATATATATATATATATATAAATAAAATAAAAGGGTTGATAAAGTTGAAAAAAAATCCATTAATTTTGAAACAAAAGGATTGATAAAGTCAGTATACATGTAATACGTTGAAATCCACTAAAAGTTTGTTAATTTGTCCTTATCATATACTATACAAATTAAAGTAGTATATTTCTGTTTTTTTTTTTTAATAATTATTTTAATTATTTTTTTATTATTTTTGAATAGTCTATAAAGTAGTATATGAATAATTGAATATTATATAAGTATTTCACATGAAGTATCCGATTCTAGTACTCTATTACTATAACAACCATGCTAAAAGTACTCTACTAGTGAAGAATAGTGCCAAAAAAATCTTGAAACCAAAATTGAAAAAGTAAAAACAAAAAATATAAAAAAAAAAAAATAAAGTTAATAAATAGCACCGTAAAAGCTGCAAGTTTTATGTATAAAATAACAAAGATATAACAATTTGCCTACAAAGTAGTACATGAATTCACATATAAAAGCTACAAAAGTAGTAAACTAGTATAGGATAAAGACAAAAGTACCTAAAACAAATAAATATAAATGTAAAAATATAATTAAAATCAATCAATTAACCTATACTAAAAGCGAACCTAAAGTGACACTTGTCACGATGTTATAAAAAAAATTCCCGCCTTTTTATCTTTCCTTTTTTTTTTTTTTTTTTTTTTTTTTGCCAAATTTTAATAACTTCCATTTTATAACCTACCATAATACTTATTTCCATTTTGACAACACATTTAATCCAATCATACTCAATTTAGATTTTTTTTTTTAATTATTTTTTAACATATATTTTATATACTATAAATCTTTTAGTTACAAATATACTTACGTAGTTTAAAATTAAGGTATTGACATATATCATCATCCAAGATTATCATAATATTATTATAATTTTTTTTCCTCTGACTTAAAATTTATTTTAATTAAAAATAGGAATAATTATTTTGGTATGATACTTTGTATAAATCTTACAAATATACAATACGTTTATAAGAACAACTGAACAAAATCATTTTATTATATTATGCTCCTCCGTTTTTTTATAAGTTATGGTAGAATTTGCACATTTGTTGCGACACAACTTTGACCATCAATATCTTTAATTAGAGACTATTATTTTGTTACAAATATTTTTTTTTGGGTAAATTTGTTGAATTAACACCATTCTTTATAAATTTTGTTGTAAAGTTTAATTATGACCGTGCATGGCACGGGATTTAACCTACTTATATAAAAAAAGAAATGCAACTTGAAAAATGCAATATGGCGTCTGACAATCACGCAAAGAAATTCTTGTTAGCGTGAGATACACGCAGCAATTATTTGTTGTTAAATGGAACAATTTGCTAAGCGAATAGCTTTGCCCAGCTAATTTCGTAATGCAATTCCAACGGTTAAGCTAATTATTTATTAGTTTCATAAATTGCAAGTTAGTCCTAATTTTACATTGTTGGAGTTGCTCTTAGTGCACCCACAAGGCCACAACAGTTGGGCTGAAGTACCTATTTGCAATATAATAAAAGTATGTGGTGCCACAAGTACCTACTTGCAATATAATAAAAGTATGTAGTGCCACAAGCTAGTAGGTGTGGAAAAATTAATTTATGGTTACCTGAAACTAATTTCAACAAGTCATTTCTCATTGGACAAAAAATAAAATTTTGATGTTCACCAAAAAAAAAAAAAAAAAAAAAAAATCATTCAATAACCATGCTATAATAAGAGTCATGTAGCTTTAAACATGTGTGAAAGTTAGGAGAGGAAAAAAAAAACCATGCATAGGAAATTTAGTCAAGTAAAGCCTTAGTTAAGCCCACTAGTTTGCAAGACACAACACACATAATAAATAAAAGGAGTAAAAGAGAAAAAACAACAATAAAATGGGAACAATTGTCTTACATGCACATAAATGATCTAAAGTACACATTTGGTCAATTATTTAACTACCAAGCGCTTTTACAACCCACATACAAAATTGTTTCATATAAAATCAAGGGGGTGCCCATGACCTATCCCAATCCCCCTTGAATGATAACACGATAAGCTTTTAGATTAGTTGTAAAACGCATCACAACTTATACGAGATGTAAAGGTGAATAATATGTGTTTTTCATAAACATTATGAAGTGTTTTTTTTCATGATTACATCAATAATATTTTACATGTGTTAACTTTACCTTTGGTAGAGCAAAATACATTTAAGGTATGTTCACTTCAGCTTAATTTTAGTTTAGTTTAGGTTCAATCAGTTCAGCTCCTAATTTTCTTCACTCATAAAATATTTATTTAAGCTCTATTTAGTTTAGTTCAGTCTAATTTCCTTCTCTCATAAAGTATTCATTTCAACTCAGTTCAGTTAATATGAAACAGGCCCTTACTCATAGTAAAAATCAATGTTACATGAAAATGATTAAGGCTTTACTCATTTTTTTTCTCTATTTGAAACAATATCATATTTTCATCTCCAAAGCTCCTTACGTATGATTGTATGAACCCATTGTCTCATGAACCCAAAAAATAACAAAACAAAACATCCAAATAAAAAGGAAATTTTTTAAATTACCACAAAAAAATGTAATCATTTTCGAACTAACCACCCGTTTAATTTTTTATTTTAAATTACCACCCCTTAAATTAAATAAATGCTCAGATTACCACCCATTTCAAAAATCCGGTGGATTTTCCGTCTGTAGGCCCCACCTAACGCTTATTTTGACTGGTTTTTTCCCCCGATTTTTCTCTTTAAAAACGCTCTCCTAACTTCAATTCACATTTTTCTCTTTGAAATTTTGTAGAATTTGGTGAAGGAAATGTGAATTAAAGTTTAAAAAGAGCGTTTTTAAAGAGAAAAATCGGGGGAAAAAATCAGTTAAAAGGGTCAAAGAAAGTGTTAGGTGGGGCCTACAAACGGAAAATCTACCGGATTTTTGAAATTGGTGGTAATTTGAGCATTTATTCAATTTAAGGGGTAGTAATTTAAAATAAAAAATTAAACGGGTGGTTAGTTAAAAAATGGTTACATTTTTGGGTGGTAATTTTAAAATTAACCAAATAAAAACCCAAAATTCAAATTTGGAAAAAAAAAAAAAAAAAAAAAATTGAATGGCGCACGTTAGCAAGAATGTCACTGGTAAAGCGTAAGTTAGCAAACTGGGGAGGGAAGATGCTTTCCTCATCCACCGTCTTCCTCCAACTCCAATCCTTCAACTTTCTCTCTCCTCTTCCTTATCCTGCGCCTTCACCACACACAACTACAGGAGAACCCAAAGTCTTTTTTCTCTCTCTTCTCCTTCTTCTTCATTTTCTAGGGTTTTCTGCAATTCCATGTTTTCGCCTCTTTCTCCTTAATTCTTCTCCAATGGCGTCTCTTTGATTCTTCTTTGTGTTTCAATTCTTTCACCAGTTGTTTAAATCTTGCAATATGGAGCGTAATTCGCCGTTATCTTTCGCCAGTCTCTTCAACCTTGAGGTTTGTCGTTGTCTTTGTGATTTTCGATGTTTTGGTGATTTTGGTTTAATTTATTGGAAGTTTTGATTTTGTTAATTGGAGAATTTGATTGTTTGAGGGGGGAATTAGGGTTTTTGTCTGTTTCGTTGAATTTGTGCGTGTCATTGAATTGCATTGCTTTGGTTGTTTTGTAATTTTTAATGGTTTTTTTTTTGGGTTGATTTTGTGTTTTTTTGGTGTAGTCTCTGGTGAATTTTCGAGTGCCGCATCCGGAAGATGATTCTGATTACTATGGGAGTAGCAGTCAGGATGAAAGCAGAGGTAGCCAAGGTGCATTTCTTGTGCTCTACTCTGTATTATACAATTACAATTCTGTTTAATTATTTTTGAAATGTGTTGTATGTGGTAGTGTCAATGTATACACTTGTTTGTTCGTGTTCTCGATGTCCATTAGACGCGGATTACAATGCCAGCGCCGGGCATTGTTGTTTTTCTCTGATTGAAATATATGGAAAATACATCATTGAAACTGAAAAAAGTTACCTTTCACTCCTTAAGTCTTTATTGATGTTTTGTTATGGAAACATTCACTCTCCAATGGAGTGGGATGGGAAGGGATGAATGCTATGTTGTTTTAAGGGGTTTTCTGTTTCAGTTTATTAATGACGTATTTTTTTATGTTATGATGATACTCATTGGGGCTTCATTCACTTTTGCTTAACTCTATTTCTGTTATTTTGGGATATGTTTTTAATGTCTAGAATGGTTAGTTAGGGAACCGATGGGTAGCATTTACATATTCATAGAAATAAAATTGATGATGATCTAAACTTTTTTCTCTTCCTTTATATAGGTAGAGGGATAGGTGGTCATAGTAACGGAATCATGTCCGAGAGAGAAGCTAAAAAAAGGAAGAGGATTAGGAACAGTGATGATGAGTTAGAAAACGGCTACTATAGGACTCCTATTACGGAGGAGCACTATCGATCTATGCTAGGTGAACATCTTCAAAAGCATAAGAGGAGGCTCAAAGATTCTTCGTTGAGTCCAGCACCTGCACGGATCCCTACTCCTATTCCTAAAAGCAGCGCAACTGCACCCGTGGCTCTCAAAAGTCGGAAATATGTAAATGAGCACCGAGGTGGGTTACAAGTTGAGAAAACTCCAGATTATTTGAATCGTTTCGTTCCTCAAAATATGGGAAGCCATTATGATGCAGGCTATGCACTTAAATATGCCAATGACAGGTATTGGTTATTAATGATTTTTGTATTTTCATATTGTTGGCATAGAGTATCAATATTCCAATTGTGCAGAAGGTTGTGGGCTAATATATTTGGTATTGCCTTTCTGAAATATTATTACTTTGTGAATACTGCTTCACAGAATGACTCAGGAATCTGTATATTTGGACATTGGGGAGGGTATCACTTACCAAATTCCGCCAAGTTATGATAAGATGCCAGCAACTCTGAACTTGCCAAGCTTTTCAGATGTTAGAGTGGAGGAGTACTATTTAAAGAGTACCCTGGATTTGGGTTCCTTAGCTGCAATGATGGCAGCTGATAGGAGGTTTGGAGCCAGAGGTAGAACTTGCACGGGGGATGCACTTTCTCAATATGACTCACTTCAAGCAAAACTGAAATCTTTGGCTTCTAGTGATCAGGTTCAGATGTTCAATTTGAAAGTGACTGAGGAAGGGTTGAACTCAATTCCTGAAGGGGCAGCTGGAAGGATACAAAGGTCAATATTGTCAGAGAGTGGTCAACTGCAAGTTCACTATGTGAAGGTGTTGGAGAAAGGAGACACATATGAGGTAATTTCTTTTTTCAAGTAATGTGAGACTGTGATTATAGTATCTTTTTCTTGTTCCTTTTGTTGTCGTTGAGGTAGTCTGGGAAGTAGGAAGAGGCTGAAAGAACTATCGGGTTTCAAGTAATTTAGTTTCAAATTTTTAAAATAGAAGAGTATTGTGTTTTTATTAATTTAGTTTCATATTTTGAATGGCAGATTATTGAAAGGAGCTTACCGAAAAAGCAAAAGGTAAAGAAAGATCAATCTACTATCGAGAGGGAGGAAAAAGATAAAGTTGGGAAAGTTTGGGTCAATATTGCTCGAAGAGATCTACCAAAGCATCATCGAATTTTTACTAACAACCACCGCAAGCAAATTATGGAAGCAAAGAGGCTTGCAGAAACTTGTCAAAGAGAAGTATGATTTATCTGTTTCCTTTTAATTTCCCTATTTTATGATGCCATTAATGCTTATTGGCACATTTAGGAAGTAGTTGACATTTCGGTTGTTTCCAGGTGAAATTGAAGGTGAGTAGATCACACAGGTTGATGAGGGGTGCTGCAATTAGAACAAGGAAACTGGCTAGAGACATGGTGGTGTACTGGAAAAGATTGGAAAAGGAGATGGTAATTTTTTTCTTTCCTTCTAATTAATAAGGAGTATATGTTTTGGCAGATACTTTTAGCCTGAGTTCTAGGAGTTATCTTTGTCTTTTATTGTTATGCATGAGTTTTCCACCATGCATTCACGTCATCTGACAGGAGCATGATACAGTAGAGTTTCTGATGAACGTCTTACTCTTGTCTTCTTTCGGTATTACTCCCTCCGTAGCCTGAGTTCTAGGAGTTATCTTTGTCTTTTATAAGACAAATAACAATAATTAGATAATGCAATGGGAAGTACAAAGATAGATTAGTTATTACTCATGACATGTCATCAATCCTTTGCAAAAAAAAAAGGACCAATCACATGCTCCTAATTGAAAATTTTTAACCAATCATATTCATTGTAATTTGGCACAAGGATTATGAGTGAGATTAGGTAAGGATGAGTGAGAAAGCATTAAATATAAAACTGAAAAAGAGAGTTGATTTACTAAAAAAACTTACCAAAAATAGAAAGGAGAAATGTAATTTTGGAATACCAAAAATAGAAAGGAGGAATGTAATTTAGGGACGGAGGGAGTATATTCTAGAGTTTAATCAATAATGGGTTTTTATATTTATATTTTTATGCTCTGCTAAATTTTCCTTGAGGCAGAGGATTTTTATATCTCTGCATAGATATTCTTCTGTATATAGGGGATACTCTTGGTCTTTTAAATTTTAATACATGTCCTAGTTACCTTCATGACATGTCATTTTTTTGGGACCCACATCTTGCGAAAAAAGATTCAGCTGATTTATTTGTGTTTTCCACAGTCTGCTGTTTTCGTTCCATGACCTCAGTGATATAATTTATGTCTTTATGGTCAATTATAATAATCTGTTGCGCTTCTCTTGTGTTTATATCACTTTGTCCCATTTCAGGCTGAAGTGAGAAAGAGAGAAGAAAAAGAAGCTGCAGAAGCTTTAAAGCGTGAACGTGAGCAAGAAGAAGCAAGAAGACAGAAGAAGAGGCTTGATTTTCTGTTGTCACAGACAGAACTTTACAGTCATTTTATGCAAAATAAGCCTGTTGTACGTCCCTCCGAGGCGATTCCTGGTGATGAAAATATAAACAGTGAAGAATTTGAAGATGAAAAGGCTGAAGAAGATACGGAAGATGCTGAATTAAAGAAAGAAGCCCTAAGGGCTGCTCAAGATGCTGTCTCGAAGCAGAAAAAATTGACTAGTGCCTTTGATGACGAATGCATGAAGTTGCGGCAGATAGCCGATGATGAAGTTCTGGGTGAAGATGCCTCAGCCACTGGATCTAGCAATATTGATCTACTTCATCCGTGAGTGTTGTTTTATCAAGTCTTCTCTGAACTATAGAATTTGACTTTATTTTTTATTTCATTAATTAGTGTATGAATCCTCTAAATTTTGGCTACTTCTTCAGATCAACAATGCCAGTTACTTCGACGGTACAGACACCAGAATTATTCAAAGGTTCTTTGAAAGAATATCAACTGAAAGGCCTTCAATGGCTTGTTAATTGCTATGAACAGGTGTCTTTCTCTGATTTACATTTACCTCCTCTTCTCGTGTCTGCATACTGTGAATATTTAAATTTTATTCATTATTTGTTTTCCAGGGTTTAAATGGTATTCTTGCTGATGAGATGGGACTGGGAAAGACTATACAGGCCATGGCTTTCTTGGCTCATTTGGCTGAGGTAAATGCTTATACACTTATTTGCCCTACTATATGTGTTCACCTTGAACTTTTGCGTGTCATCTATCTCTAGGTGGGCGATCTTAGTGGGACGAAGGGAGTATCATACTAGTATATCTTGTTTATGGTATACTAAAACTCATGAACAACTCAACTATGTTTCATGTACAGGATAAAAATATATGGGGCCCATTTCTGGTTTGTGCTCCAGCGTCAGTCTTGAATAACTGGGCTGATGAAATTAAAAGATTTTGCCCTGATCTGAAAACTCTACCATACTGGGGTGGACTTTCAGAGCGACAGGTTCTCAGGAAAAATATTAACCCAAAACGACTTTATCGTAGGTAATGAACAAAACTTTGTTGAACTGTTGCATTAAGTTTGGTGTAAACGTGTAATACAGACATTATTGTTAATGTTTTATGTGGTTAGGCAGCATATTTTGGCTGCCACTATCTAGGAATATTGTCATTATCGTTAGCTAAATTTGGTATTATCTGATTTATTAGAGCATTCAAATAGTGAATTTATGTCTTCCTTTTTCCTGGTTAAAATTTTTAAACAACTATTCCTGTACTTTTTTAGCATTTTTTTTGTTTCTTTAGTTATTTTACTTAACAATCAGAATGTAGCCGCATGTAGGTTTCTGCAATTTTTGTTTGCTGTGGCTGATATGCATTTTTTGTTTGACATGACTTCCACTGAAACATGGCAGTTTGATATAACATTAGCTATATATATCATTTTTTTAAAAATTCATTTTCATATCATTGGTCTAGCATAGCATGAGGATGATGATGCCCCCATGCTACATCAATGTATAAAAAAGCTCAAGGCGCACTAAGGCGATAAGGGTTTTGTAGCGCCTAGGTGCGCCTCTTTGAAGTGAGGCGCACTGTATAAACAGTTAAAAAATTGGCAGATAATTGCTTCAAAAGCGCCTCAGGTGCGCCTCGTGCGCTTTTGGTGCGCCTCGGGCACTTCAGGTGCGCCTAATTGAAAACGCCTCGCCCAGACCCAAAAAAGCTCTTACCCCCTATCACCTTGAGCCTTAGCGCCTAGGCGCGTCTTAGGCGCGCTTTTTCAAACACTGTGCTACATAGTGGAGGACTGCATCCTATTTCTAGCAACTAGGGGGATAGAGCACTGTGCTTATTGAAGCTCATAACTCCCTCCGTATTATAATAAAGTGTTGCACTTTGACCAAACACGCATGTCGAGACACGAATTTTCCATTAATTTATCTAATTATATGTTAGTAAAATCATAGGAAACTTGATATTATGTTAGTATACATTATAACGAATCCAAAAATGTACTCCCTGCGTCCCATAATATAGTTCTTGTTTGTGTTTTTTTTCACGGTATTTAAGAAATTGGAGGAGAAGTGGATGAAGTACATTAATAAAAGTGAAAATTACAATTATAGACAAAGGTTAGAGAGAGAAAGTGGAGAAAAATACAAGGCATTTGCTTACAATTATAGCCACCAATATTAGAGCCAACAAACATAAAGCAGTGGGGCGAGAGTATGGGGGCGTGGGTGAAATTGTTGATGGTCTTTTCTACAGGTGTTCTTGCCCATTTTAATAAAGAATTGCCTTGTTTAGTCTTTAGCAAAGGATCTCCTTTTATCATTATTATTCCATTTTTTAACTTCTGCATATATATACAATTAAATACCCAAAATAAATAAAAGTAACTTTGAAGAAAATGTGTCTGCTGCTAACTAGTGATATCATTAATGAAGGGTTTTTTTTTTTTGGCTTTGTTCTTCCTAAAGAGATAGAGAGATGGTATGGGTCTTGTTGTAAGCTAGGGGCAGAGATGAGGAGGTTTGTTTGTAGCAGCCTTGCTAGAAAGGGGGAGGAAGGATGGTGACAGCCTGGCAGGAATGGGTGGGGAGCTGATGGTTACGAGGAAGAGTTGATGCCTGCCTGGTGGTTATGTTATGGAAGGTGGAGGTGGATGGTGCTCTTGGTGCAAGACAATTATTAGAGGAGAAAAAGGAGAGAAAAAGACATTAAATTATAAAAGGAACAGGAAAATTAATTTACCTCTCCAGTAGGTTATAAGTTACACGGGACTTATTTTGGTAGATACTCTCATTGTTGGGACCACTCTTAATTAATTGAAACTTGGAACTTTTACCTAGGAAAGGCCATTGTTGAGACTTGAGACCACTCTAACTGTTGAAGCCCAATTTGATGTGTCCAAATGTCATGTCCAATGTCTCTAATGCCTCATTAAACAATCTTTTTTTTTTGGTTTTGAGGGGTGGGGTGGGAGGAGAGATGAGATGGGGTGTGACATGAAAATTCCAAGTAACAAAGCCTGTGGCTTGCTTCCTGAGTTTCTTTTCATGTGCAGGCTTTCTATCCCACTTTCTTTCAGGCTCCCCATTGTAAACAGCTTATAAATTTGGAATCAATTCCTAGGAAACTGGTGTGCTTTCATGTGGTTAAATGAAGTATATTTGGTGTAAGAGACATGCCTTATTTTATGTACTCACATATAAATCATGTGTTCTTGGTCTTTATAATCTATATCATGTTCCTGTCATTCTTAAATTGAACTTATTGCAGTTAATTTGTATATTCTGTGCTGAACTACCGTTATTATTATCTAGTGCAGCATAATAATGTAATTCTAGATAAATGCTTTCATTGTCATTATGATAACATATTTCTGCTGCCATTATGCATGCATCTTGGGTTTGTGACACTTATGAGGCATTGTTGACTTTTTTTTGTTTGTTTGTTTGGCAGGGATGCTGGATTTCATATACTTGTCACTAGCTATCAATTATTGGTTACTGATGAGAAGTACTTAAAGCGTGTCAGATGGCAGTACATGGTATTAGATGAGGCTCAGGCAATTAAGAGTGCAAGCAGGTTTTTTTCTCCATTATTTGAATTAAAGAATTGCAACTATATGACAAAAGCACCAATTCCCCTCTAGAAGGAATAATATGTGAACATTACTGTTTATTTTCTTTCCCTTTTCTATTCAAATGATGGTTGTTGTTCCTTTTCAGTTTATACTTCATTTGAAGCACACATGATGAAGTAGTGATCTTGTAGTTTATTACTTCATTTCAAATAGTTGACTCATTTTTCATTTTGGGAAGTATCTTATAGCACACATGATGAAGTATTTTTCATTTTGACATATTTCTATTTTGGGCAGTTTTTATGTGGTAAAATGTCAATCCCTCACTTCCCTTCTCTTTCCTCCCTAACTTACTCTCTCTCGCATAGCTGAACAACCCCAATTTCTCTTTCCTCCCTCAAAGCCGCGATCCCATTTTCTCTCTCTTCCCTCGCCGCAGGTATTTTCTCTCCTCTCCTTGCTGCCGCCAATAATTGCTCTTCTTTCCCTGATTTCTATCCTTAATCATCCACCTTGGACCAATATCTCCGAGACGGTTCTGAGACAAAGCAAAAACTATAGAAAGAGCAATTGAATCTTCATTTTGTCCTTTGATCCGGCCTCATCTTAAATCTCCCTCTTTCATATTTAATCTTACATTGGAGAGTTATTCGCAAGCAGTCAACAATGGTGAATAAAATTTCTTGCTCTTTGCTTCCTTCTCTAAACCTTAAATTTTGACTTATATCCCTGATTTTTTAATTCTACTCCAATCTCATTAACCAATTCCACTGATAAAGGGGTTTTTTTTTTCTTCTTAAACTCAAGATTTGAAAGCGATGTGAGTATCGATTATAGAGAAGAGAAGGTGAATTGTGACAAGTATAGTGTTTCGAATAGGGTACAAGGATTTTGATGTTGTAATAAGAATGAATAGAGGATGACGATGGATTTGTTAGTGACACACCGCACACGATGATGTTTGACGGTGGTGATGACTCGCAGGTTGAAGGGAGTTGAAGGTGGTTGGCTGTTAATTTTGAAGGCAAATAGGCAATGGTGGAGATATTTAAGAAGAGGAAGGTGGTGGTGGTGGGATGAAGAGGTTGTTGGTTTTGGAAGTGGTGTTAGGGTTGAGAATTTGGTGGTGGTTGGTTGATATGTCAACTTGTCAAGGAGAAGGGTAGGTGGATAAGTAGGTAGGGGTGAGAAACTATTTGTAATTGTTCAGTCTTTGTCTTGTGTCATTCTTCCTCACCCCTCCTTAATATGCGCACCTAAGCACTTGGATTTACATTTACAATGCTTTCTGACTCCATTTGCTTTTGGCTGCAGCTTAAGATGGAAGACGCTTCTTAGTTTTAATTGTCGAAATCGTTTGCTTTTGACGGGTACGCCTATTCAGAATAACATGGCAGAGTTATGGGCTCTTTTACATTTCATCATGCCTACTTTGTTTGACAGCCATGAGCAATTTAATGAGTGGTTCTCCAAAGGGTACAGATCTTTACTATGTAGTATAATTTTGACTTTTGTAAACAAAGTGAAAAAATTACCGTGATGTGTTCTTTGATGAATTATAAGCACACTTTTCGTTGCTGCACATGTGCAGGATAGAGAGTCATGCAGAGCATGGTGGCACCTTGAATGAACATCAGCTAAATAGATTGGTGAGTCTGCTTGTGTTGTCAGTATGTTCTGATTGTGGGTTATTAGAAATTTTAATTGTGAGATGCAGCTGATATAAAAATTCTGATCACTCAAATTTAAACAGCTTTTTGTCTATAATTTCTGATCACTCAAATTTAAACAGCTTTTTGTCTTATTCTATTTCCTTGGATAACATTTTTTTCCCCTTAAAAATAGCATGCAGTGCTAAAACCTTTTATGTTGCGCCGGGTCAAAAAAGATGTGGTTACTGAGCTGACAGGAAAGACAGAGATAACTGTGCACTGCAAATTGAGTTCCCGACAGCAAGCCTTTTATCAAGCTATAAAGAATAAGATTTCGCTAACTGAGATAATTGATAACAGTCGTGGGCATCTTAATGAAAAGAAATTGATGAATTTGATGAATATTGTTATACAATTGAGAAAGGTACTTCATGTTTATATTCTTATTTTTCTGTCCAATTATGTTATTATACCTTTTGATTAGTTTCGGTGTTACAGCCTGGGAATCTGATAAATTTGATTTATTGTGAATTGACAGGTCTGCAATCATCCAGAATTGTTTGAAAGGAATGAGGGTAGCTCATACTTCTACTTTGGAGACATCTCAAATTCTCTTCTGCCTCCTCCATTCGGGGAACTGGAGGACATACTATATACTGGTGGTCGAAATCCTATAACATACCAGGTACTTCATGACAAATTTGTTTTGGTGGAGACTTACTTCAATGCTTTATTATATCCTCGGAGCTGAGCAATAGTTTATGCAATGCTTTGAATGTTTAAATGTTTTCGTTGATTCTTGATTGTTCATTCTGTTTGACATAGTATTACCCTGTGTATCTGTCCTATTTGATCGTATTGATATTGGTCTTGTGCTGTTTGTTATTGTAATTGTATAAGTAGCACTTCCTGCTGGTGCGTTTTATTCTTTCTCTGGATCCAACTGTTTTTGCATTTTATTTTTGGCAGTTCAGATTCTGTTTGTATTTAGTTTTATCTATCTAGTTAACTGTATGAACTATTGTAATGGACTGATAATCTGACTTGTATTTCTGATTTAATAAGACTAATAAACAAAGATAAAAGCTTGAGACTTTGATTAATAATGGCAGAAATTTGAGTACACAAGTGATAGGAGGATAATTGCTTGAGGCTATTACTCTCTTGATACCTTTAGGTTATTACTCTCCTAGTAACTTTTGGTTACTACTCTCAACATATTTCCTCACAATTCACATCATGCCTACTGCATATACTCTCCCCTATTTATACTAAGGCTGAGGAGTAAGGACTATTAACCTAAAAAATACTAGACTTCCCAAATTACCCTTCCTAATGTTAGTCTATTATAACTATGAAGTAAGAAGACTAGAATTCTTTGTTAGTTTCCACTCCCTGCCATCCTGCTCAAGTTTTTATTGATTGAGGTTTGTTTTTCTTTTTAGATACCTAAATTAATCTATGAAGATATGTTTCGTTGCTCTCGGACACTCTGTTCTGCTGTTGGGCGTGGTCTCAGTAGAGGATCTTTTGAGAAATATTTCAACATATTTACTCCAGATGTTATATATCGATCCATAATACCCCGAGAAGATGCCACTGATGTAGCATCTATTCGGAGTGGAGCATTTGGCTTTACCCATCTGATTGACTTATCACCTGCAGAGGTTGCTTTCTTGGCTAATAGCTCCTTTTTGGAGAGACTGATGTTCTCTGTGAAAACACAAGAGAGGCAGTACTTGGATGATATTGTAAACTTAGTGACAGAGGTTGAAGATGGTGACCTTCAAATTGAGATAGGAAAAGTCAGAGCTGTCACTAGAATGTTGTTAACACCAAGTAAATCAGGCAGTGGTATTCTGAGAAGAAAGCTCGCAACTGGTCCTAACCATGCTCCCTTTGAGGAACTGGTGGTTTCTCATGAGGATAGACTCATGTCAAATATTGCACTTCTTCATTCCGCATATACTTTCATCCCTCAAAGTAGAGCACCACCGGTAATTATTTTGTCTTTTCTATTATTATTACTTCCTCCGTCTCATATTAGTTGACACATTTCATTGGTGCGTTTGCCATTGCATAACTTCAAGTAATAATATCTTCAATTGTGTACAACCAAAAATTTTGTTAAAAATTGATTTTTGGGATATAAAAGTTGAGACGAATTAAACATGACCCCAGTCGACTATATTTTTTCATGAGAATAAATCACAAAGTGAAGTCAAAGTTACTTATGTGAATAGTGGTGAAAGTCAAAACTCAAAGTGTGAACAAAATGGAACGGAGGAAGTATTTTTATTATTATTATTTTAGTTTTTGTTTTTATTGTGCCTAATTTAACTCGGCGTTGATACAAGTCTTTTGTTGATTCTTTAGATTTGTGCTCACTGTCCGAATAGAAACTTCTCTTATCAAATGCTTGATGAACTTCATAACCCCTGGGTCAAGAGACTTTTTGTTGGGTTTGCTCGCACATCTGATTTTAGTGCACCTAGAAGGCCTGACGGACCACCTCATCAATTAATTGAAGAGATAGATTCTGAATTACCTGTTGTACAGCCAGCTCTTCAGCTGACATACAAGATATTTGGTTCATGCCCACCCATGCAAAGTTTTGATCCATCGAAGTTGCTCACTGTAAGATATGCTTTTTCCCATTGCTTTGGTCAATTGATTTTATTTTATTGCTGGCATTATAATTATGCTGGCATTACATGTGAATTTCAGGATTCTGGAAAGCTACAGACACTTGATATATTATTGAAGCGCTTAAGAGCAGGGAATCACCGTGTTCTTTTGTTTGCACAAATGACAAAAATGCTAAATATTCTTGAGGTATTTTTACTTAATCCAACAATGTAATACTCATGTCTTACTATAAAGTTCCTTATATTAAGAATTCTATTATACCATAAATCCATTTTGTTTATCTAGTTATTGTTACTATTAGAACAAGCATCTTAGTTTGCTATAGTTTTATTTTCTTATATATATATAATCAGTTACCTTTAATTTGTTGGTTCTACATTTTGTGGAGTAACTTGTTATTCAGTAGGATGCTTTTGAGCAATGTTTTAACATTTTTTTGAGGTGCATGTATGTACTCCGAGTACTACTTTTATCATGATTCATGTATGTGTTGAGTATGGAGTGAGATGTAATATATATATATATATATATATATCGTAACAGTTCATTTTTAAAAATATATTCTTGTGAAAATTTTGTTCAAATGTACAATCTTTATATATACAGCAAACAAAAATTATAAATTGGTTTGATTAACCAAAAAAAATTGTGTAAAGATTTTTATTTCTCCTGTCATTATTTTGTTACCTTAATAAATAGTTATGTATGAATATGAGTCTTTGGAAAATTTCTAGAAAAAAATGATGCCTGAATACGGAGTATATTTACTTGAAGAGAGGTGAGACCTGAGTTGTGTGATTATAGATTGTTAACTTCATTTTTTGCTGATAAGCTACTTAACAAAGTTGAGTATATATGTTCTGAAATTCATTATTATAGCCATTTCTCCTTTATTGATGATTTGTTGTCATTAGTTGTGTCATTGTTTGTAGGTAATTTCCACCTTTTTTTTTTATTACAAGGCTGTGGGTTCAAGCACTTCTGCAGTTCTGCCTACATTTGTCCCTTTTTGACAAGGGGACAAAATTAACGAATGTGTATGTATGGTATACAGGCAATAGAGCCGCATTATTACTTGGCAGAGTTTTGTGAAAGACTACTCTTAGAATGGATAGTATAAATTTGAATTGTTGTGCATATATCTTTTATTATTGGAGTTATCATTAGTGTGTGTAGCTTGTAATATGCAATGCTTGTTTATCTTAGTTAGTGGCTGATACAATTCTCCAGTTGCAACACCTTGCAATTGAGCCTTATTCTAGCTTTTAGCTGCCAGCTTGTAGATTCTCATATCATGAAATTGTATTGTAGTTTTGAGTTGGTTATTACTGCAGCAAGAAAAATGTCTTGTAGTGCATTTTGACTGCTGTTTCTTCATTATGCTCTTATATCATTTTCCTTATCACCTCATCGTTGAGGGGTATATAACGGGTCTGAACTATTGTTTTCTTCAGGACTATATGAATTATCGAAAATACAAGTATCTTAGACTTGATGGATCATCAACCATCATGGATCGGCGGGACATGGTTCAAGATTTCCAACTTAGGTAAAGTTTTTATTTTCTTTTCAATCTGCGTGGTTATGGTGTTTCCTCTGTTTTCTCCTAGCAAAACAATCAGCCGGGGGTTGAGGGGGGTGGTTGGGAGTAAATGGACAGAGAACTTTTGTTAAGCTAGTTGATGGAACACTTGATTTAATGATTTGCAGGAGTGATATTTATTTATTTTATTTATTTATTTTGCAGGAATGATATATTTGTATTCCTGCTTAGTACAAGGGCAGGTGGTCTGGGTATCAATCTAACAGCTGCAGATACTGTGATATTTTATGAAATCGACTGGAATCCAACCTTGGACTTGCAGGCAATGGACAGAGCTCATCGTTTGGGTCAGACCAAAGATGTGAGTCTTTTTGATCTGTTTGTTTCATAAGAAGACTTTTCGAACATAGATATTTCTTGTTTTGCTTTCTTGGATGAATGGCTATTTTGTTTTGCCTATTTAGTCAATCTTTTGTCAATCATACTACATAACTGTAGAACTGATGTGTAAGGGAATAATAAATGTTTTTGTACGTGGGCTGTTAGATTTTTCTGTAATGTTTTTCTCTTATCCCCCACCCTATCCTCTAAGCGTAAAGGAAAAAGAAAGGGGGTGGGGTGGGATGCCCTCAAGGAAGGAAGGGATAAGAGTGGTTTTGGTTTGTAGTTCAAAGTAATTGCTGTTAGAAGTTTATAACAGATGCATTTTTGACATTATAGGTTACCGTCTACCGTTTGATTTGCAAAGAGACTGTCGAGGAGAAAATTTTACAAAGAGCAGGTCAAAAGAGTACCGTTCAGCAGCTTGTTATGACTGGAGGCCATGTACAAGGTGATTTAATGGCGCCAGAAGATGTTGTCTCTTTACTCATTGATGATGCCCAATTGGAGCAGAAATTGAAAGAAATTCCTATACAGGTTAGTGTAGCAACAAATATACAACATGACTACTCCAGGCATGTATTATTTAAAAACTCTGGTCGTGTCCCTGTCTTCACTAAATCTCAAAAATCATTTTTAAAATGAATTTATCTTCCACTTTCCCAGGTCAAAGATAAACAAAAGAGGAAGCGAGCAAATAAAGGCATAAGGATAGATGCAGAAGGAGAGGCTACTTTGGAAGATCTTGATAAGATTGCAAATGAAGCTTCTGTTATTGAACTCTCTCCAGATTCAGAAAAGCCAAAGTCCAATAAAAAAGTAATGGGACTTAGTGAGAATTTTCTGATTCCTTTTGTTTATGCTTTTGTGCTTTATTGTGAGTATGCTTGGAGGTTATTCCCATAAAAAAAATGATCATCGGCTTAGTATGGCTTGATTACTCTGTGTAATGAAGCTTGTGCATTTTTCTGTTTTCCTTTTCCTGTCTAATAACCGAAGTACAAACTTGGTACAATGCTCTTTTTCTGGGCTCTTCTCCAGTAGCTGTTGTAACTTTACTACCTTTTTGGTAGACTTGGTTTGCAGGTGCTTGTGAAATATATCAGCATTTTGTTCTGCAACTGATGTTTATCTTTTATTATTACAGAGAAAAACTGGTGATAAACGTCAGCCGAAGCAGAAAGCTGCAAAAGCCATTGATGCAGAAAAAAATGACGCTGGGCAAGGGAATGAGTTGGATGGCTTCATTAACAACCCTGATCAAGAGCAAAGACCAAAGAGGCCAAAGAGGGAAAGACCGACTAAGAGTGTGAATGAAAACATCGAACCTGCATTTACTGCTGCTCCTTTTGCAGTTCCTCAGCAGCCTCAAGCTCAAAACGTGCCTTCCGTTGATCAGAGTTTAGGAGGTATGGCAACATTGTGAGGAGAAAAACCCCCATCTCATCAAAGTAGCTTATAGCCTTATGGTTCAATATTTCCCAGTATTAGGAATTAGGAATCATCAGTACATGTTAGCTTTGTTTTTACCTAACTGGATTTCTTGCTTCCGTTTTTGCTGATCCCTACGTTGGATTGTGGGAAGCAAGATGCCGGGTTGTAAGTGTTGTACAGGTTCTTCAATTAATGGTGCCTTTTTAAACTGGCAATTATAGTTTTAGCAAATAGTTAGCAGTGTATTTAAGTAATATCAAATGATTAATCACAGGAAATATAAGCAAAGTACTGTCTTTGCTGTATATAAGTTATTCATTTAGAATGTAAATCAGAAGATACTGAAGAGGTTTCATGATCTTTAGTTTTTGGAGAAAAACATTGCATGATCTTTTGGAATGGTCATTTTAATGTTTATTGTCGATGTTTGTATGACTGATTAGTTCACATGGTTTCCAAACATTAATTTATATACTCTTGTTGTTTAGTAATCTTGGGCTTAATTTTATTTTAATTTTATTTTTTTCATGTAATTGACTAGATGCACAATGCACCCAAGAGTAGTCTTTTTAATCAGCGGATAATGTCATTGTAAAAATTTAAAATTACCTTTGGTGATGCGCTTATATGCATCTTAATGTAGAGGTTCTAGCTCAAATTTACGAGTTAATATTATTTTCCTCCTTTCTAGCCAAGTTTTTTCCATACTAAAGTTGTAAATCATCGCCATATTCGAGTGTATTATTTTCCTCCTTTCTAGCCAATTTTTTTTCATACCAAAGTTGTAAATCATCGACTTAGAATATGGTCCATATTAGGTAAGATGGTCCAAGGAAACTGATTAGCATTTGTCTTCTATCATGTCTTGTATTGCTAGCCAAATTAGTTGACGCTTGCATACTCCAAAAAGTCTAAATAAGCTGGAGTATCTTCTTTATGAATGATTCTAATGGCCGAGTTATTGTAAATCCACTTTGACGACGAACCATTCCAGTAGTTGTCTAATGCTTCTCCATCCTCAAATCAATTCAAGCACATAAATTCTCAAAATTTCACCCTCTGTTTAGTGTTTACATCCAAAAATGCAAAAAAATACAAATTACCGAGTAATAATGTCATATATTAGTCCATGGGGTAGCTTGGTGCAAGGGAACAATGTTACCCAAAGGGTATGAGAGCACTGCCTGAGATCAATTCACTTATAGAGTTGTTCAACAAACATTTGTAAGACAATAAAAATCGAATATAGTTTCATGAGTACAAACCTCATTTTTTTTTCCCTAATAAGTAGAAACTAGGTGAACAAAATATTTCTTCAACAGGAATACTAGCGTGCAAATTTAGTGTGTTTCTAGGTCATCTGTCATCAAAGATACCCAGATACTGTTAGAACTGCAATTAGAAGCATACATCATGCTTTTCAGAAACTTGTAATTTTATAGGTTTTAGGGTTTAAAAGCATAGATTTTGGCACTTTCAAAAGTGGGCATGAATCCATAACAGACACAATCACATATGAAAACATACATGACATTTCTTATTGACATTCTATCCATGACACTTATCCTTCACCTTTCAGCTAAGGCAAAATTGATTCCAACATGATTTTAACAGCAATACATAACGTAAGTAGTCACACACTCACACTAGATTCTCGAAATACAGAGTTATAACTTCAAGGCTTGAGCATGGTGGCTGATGTGATCATCAATGAAAGTAGCAATGAAGAAATAGGAATGGTCATATCCAGGCTGGAGTCGCAACAAAAGTGGTGCATTGACCTTCTCACAAGCCTCTTGAAATTTGTTCGGCAACAATTGATCATGCAAGAATTTGTCATCTGTCCCCTGTGGATGCAAATTCGTAAATTCAATTAAAAAACAGGGATGGAAGCCAAATTTTTATCATAATCGAGTTGACTGTGTACCAAATGAGATGATGATTTAACTGAAGCAAATCTTACCTGATCAATTAGTATGGATGCAGAAAGATCATGGAACTTTGAAATCAAGCAAGTAGCATCATATTCCTGCAAGATAGCGAAGATTACACCATGAAAGTGATGTAACAACTATGAATCTTCGTCATTATATCAACACACCAGAACAAAGTGCTAGTACCTCCCAGTCTGCCTTATTTCCTCCCAGATAGTTACTGAAAGCTTTCTGGCCCCAAGGGCAGTTAATTGGATTCACAATTGGTGCAAAGGCAGATGCCGTCTGCAGCGAACATGCTTCTATTAGATTTGATTTATAGAAGGGTGTTCAGTGTCGAAGCTCATAATTACTATGTACGGAATTGTGTGGGCATTTTCTTTTGTGATAAATAGATATACCTTATATTTGTCAAGGTTCTTCAGGTATATAGTCAACGCCCCATGCCCCCCCATTGAATGCCCTGATATTGATGCACATGTTGTGTCAAGTTGTGGGAAATTCTCTTTCAGGAGTTCAGGCAACTCCTTAACAACATAATCATACATACGCCAATTCTTCCATTTCTCTTGTGTAGCATTCAAATAGAACCCCGCGCCTATAACAGAGGAGAAAGATGAGGAGTCAGAAACATGGAATGGGGCAATCAGTATATAATTAAACTAATCATGATCTTACAGTGAACAAAAGTATCAAGCGATTACTATCGCATAACAAATAACAACTACAATTATAGTTCATACCTACACCAAAGTCATAGCTATCAGCCTCTCCTTCGACATTTAGCCCTCCTGGAATACAAATAAGAGGGACAGTCAATGTGAAGCTTTTAGAAAGCATGACTAGAAACAAAAACAAACAGAATGACAATAAATTTAGTAAGAGCACAGTAAAACAGGAACCGAAAATTTGGCATAGCTAGCTGGTTGATACTCTTGATAGTCCAAGAATGAAACAGACAACTTGTAGCATAGCCGCTTGTAGAATTTCTCAAATTTGAAGACAGGCAGTCCTTGGCCAGAATTTACAGACTATAACCCTCAATAGATAGAATGAAAGAAAATTTTCAAAAATTCAAATACATATGACAGCTCCTATTATAAGCAGCAGGACCTATCCAATCATTCAACATCATCTAATGACACCCTGAACGTACTAACAAGTGTAACAAACTTCTTCATAAGCTAAGTATGGTAAGGTGGGATGAGCCCTTCCCACCCCCAAACCTTTCCCCCTGCTGCCTCCCTCCCTAAAAGCTGTAGCTTCATAATTTAAGGATTTAAATCCCAGTCCTTTAAACAATAGATTATGTAAGGTTGGCCCCTCCTAAATTTATAAGATGATTAATCACCAAGAATATTCACAAGGTACAAAGGAAAACAAATGACTTGCCCCATCCTGATTTATCCATACAAATTTCAAAAAAAAACATTTTTTTTTTCCATGAATTATCCCTTTTTGATAACTATTACCAACCCCCACTTAATCATAGCCTAAATCTCTGAAACTCAATGCAGATCCAGGGCTGTTCACCACTCCAGAATTGGACTTGACACCGAAATTTTTGTAAAAGACCAAGAGACTGCACAGGCAAAAAGAGATCCTGGATTGGACCAGATCAATTAGGAAGAGTCTGAGAAAAAACCGTATTTTGTGCTCATATATAAGTTTATATTAATACACCTTTTTGTTGCAAAATCATATAAAGATATTGATATACACACAAATTTTGTTGATGTCAGATATTAGTGACACTCTTATCCATCTGGCTACAAATTAAAGATAAAAATACAATGCGGTTAGAGCTAGGAACTGGGTTCATCTTTTAATTTGATATGTTCCACACAACTAATTACTTGTATTTTTTTTATCAAGTAGATTTATTTTATCATCATATAATCCATGGTACAGAAAAACTAAGCCACTGCCATTCGCTCAAAAATTCAATAATTTCCAAAAATAAAATACATTTGATTGAATCACTCAGGTTCCTCCAAGAAACAAAAACATTTGAGGTGTATTGGAGTACTGGCAACTATGAACCAATGTATAAAAAAGCTCAAGGTGTGCTGAAGTGATAAGGGTTATGCAGCGCCTAGGTGCGCCTCTTTGAAGTGGCGCACTGTATAAAACTATAAACAGTAAAAAAATTGGCAGAAATTCAGGTGTGCCTAATCAAATACGCTTCGCCCAGGCCAAATGAAGCGCTTACCCCTATTGCCTTATTTCAAACACTGCTATGAACTGGCATCTAAAGCAACTACTAAAAGTTATTCGATTGACAGAGTCAAAAATAAGTTCTAGCAATCATGTGACATACTTGGAGATGTATCAGGGGCAATCAGAGCGATGCCCTCACTAGAAGCAGCACGTTGAGCTCCAGACTTAATGATGAAATTTTCATCTGTACATGTAAGACCAGATAACCAGTAAAGCACCTGTGGATTAATCAAGTTAATATCAATTATTGTTTCTAAGTGACACAAGGATGTCAAAAGTAGCAAAGATCTCTAAAAACAAAGTATAATCACAATGGTGCTAAAATAGCCCCAATAGAATACATTTTCTCCTATTCTTTATTTTTGGGGGCTTCTTATTCACGCCCTTTTCTCCCATATAATTTCTAACGCATTTTAAGGATGCACAAACCTCTTGGATTGCTCATATATCTCAAAATTTCCCATTATTTCAGACTATCAAACAAAATAAACTCAGCTTCTTCCTTAAGTTTTCTGTCTCAAATTCATAATTCACTACAATTGTGAGATATACAAGCATTTCAAGAGGCTTGTGCACCCTTAAAATGCGTTAGAAAGCTCATTTATGAGTTTTTATTCAATCGCTGTAAGAGTTATATCAAGTATTATACTCTTCGCCCGAATAATGTGACTTTTGTGGACTCTCATGATCCTGATATTCACAAATAGGATTTTTGGCAGCTCGTTTTCCGGATTTATTACCTCCATTTTGGATCATTTTATTCCCAATTCCCACACGAAATTAAATTTTGAGTTTTTTTTTTTAATAATTTAATTGCTTCCCTGCATTTATTCTCTACTCAATTTCACAATTTTATTACATTTCTGCTATGCTAAAGGCCATAAAAAATGTCTTTTACAATAATCTCCAACCATAATTCATAATATAATCATATAGAAATCCTAAAAATACAGATAAAATTAACATGCATCAGTAAAGAAATTCACACTCAAAAACAGTAATCAAGTTTAATGTCTGGTAATGTGCTTTTGGGCTTTAGTTTAAACAACGGGCCTTTTGAGTTGGAGGTGCATATCCATAGGCCTTGTGTGGGTTAAGAAGCTACAAAAACCGTCATGGTGTTTAAATATGACAAAATGTATCTAACACTCGAGATCATAATGCATATTTGTGAAGTTTATAATGAATTCATGATGTTAGAATGACAAATTGATCATAAAATCCTTCAAGATTTGCCTCTTAACAAAAAGAAGACGTTGAAATATATGATGTCTAAGGAAATTACATTTGATGCCCTCTCGTTAATCTAAGGCCCTCAATTGAAGTATATTCTAAGTAAACCCTTGATGAGCTTGAACCTACTAGACACAATACACTATAAGAGTTTGAAATGACAAATCTAAGAGCGTTATTATTGTTATTTACGAATTGTTTGGTGTGTGGGGTTGATGGTGAGATAACAATAGGAATTAATTATGGGGAATCATAAAAATATACCCAATACCTTATTTAGTAGATGTTGGAAATATGTTACTCCGTAAGAATATAAAACTTGCAAAAATGCCCTTATTGTTGATTCAGTTTAGCTTCGTTCACTTTCATTAAAGATAAAAGTCATTTTAAATATAATCTTATTCTCAACCTCTAATACCAATTACCAACCCCATCAATTAATATTAAATCCTTTGGCATATAAGGAAAATGTTCCCAAGTTCTTCAATCTCAATCCCCATGAACAATATATGAGATTTGAGCACTTGAGATTAAATTTTTCAATTTCCATTTTCCACCCTCAATCTCCCACAAAGAAGAATCTCATAGGAAATATAATATTAATAGTATAAATTGCTACTCCAAATAACAATTTAAATTTACAAAAAAAGAAAAATAAAATAAAAACATACCAGTCTTATTCGAACGTAAAGTTACAAAGGAGGTTTGATACAATTGTAGAATGAAAAATTACTTATTGACTTGTACTAATTTCGTAACTCGTTTACATTTAACATTTAGCAAAAGTAAAAACTCAAATTGCATTATCTATTAATGTTTTTACTCCATCTCCTTATCCACCTACTTCTTCAATTTAAATGATTTTTTTTCCCTATCTACCTTTATCCAATTTCATTTATTGCTTTCAACTATTTGCATTCCTTTAATGTATTTCATTTACATGCAATGCTTTCAGTCATGCTTTGTTCTTTGTTTAAGTATGCTTTGTTCTTTCAGTCATGTAGATTATAAGTATTGTGAATAGGATGTTTGCTTACAGAGTGAAATATGCTGCCCACACTCTCCTACATGGTTCAATGCATGACCACTACGAAAAAGTGGGAGCTTATCTTGCATCATTGCAGACAAGCAGCCCTGGAAGTACATATGAGCTAGTGACTGTGCAACAGAAGAAGGGTCCACCTGTGTTTCAAAGATTTTTCATGTGCTTTGAGGGGTTGTCCAAGGGATGGATAGATGGTTGTAGGAAGGTGTTGGCTGTTGATGCAAGCTTTTTGAAGACCTTTCTAGGTGGTCAATTGCTTTATGTTGTTGGAAGGGATGCCAATGACCAAATGTTCCCAGTGGCATGGGCTGTTGCTGAGGGTGAGAATAATCTGAGTTGGGAATGGTTTTTTGTGCATCTACAAAAAGTGTTGGAGTTGGGAGATGGTGAAGGTGTTGCAGTCTTGTCTGATGAGCACCAGGTATGAGCACTTTGACTTTTATTCACTCTAAGCACAAATTTGTTTTCAAATAATTTTTGCAACTTCCTAATTATTGCACTTGCTTTGATGTTAGGCTATTGTCAATGATTTGTCCTCTGTTCTGCCCCAAGCAGAACACAGGCATTGTGCCAGACATATATTTGTCAACTGGCACAAGACATATAGAGGAGATGAGCTGAAGTTGCAATTCTGGAAGATTGCTAAGTGTTACAACAAGGCAGATATTGATGATGCATTGAACGACCTCACTGTAATCAATTTTGAAGCAGCTGAGGCATTCAAAGGCTATAATCCTAGCTTATTTTGCAGAGCTTTCTTGAGTACTTAATGAAAACTGATGCAATAACCAACAATATTGCTGAAACTTTCAATGGCTATATAATAAATGCAAGAACAAAGCACCTGTTGTACATGTTAGAAGATATCAGAACATGCTTGATGTAGAGGCTACTCAAAAAAAGGCAAGAGATGGAGAAATGGTCAGGTGTTCTGTGCCCAAGAATTCAGGCAAAGTTGGAGAAGGAGAAACACAAGGCTTCATACTGTGATGTGCAGCCTTCCACATACCAATTATTCAATGTCACCAATGACCTGGACCAACTAGTTGTTAATTTGCAAGAAAAAACTTGCAGTTGTAGGAAGTGGGAAATGGTTGGCATTCCCTGTTGCCATGCAGTTGCTTGCATCTTCTTTATGAACAAAGAAGCAGAAGACTATGTGGACAGGTGTTACACAAGGGAAGCATATCTACAGGCTTATGCAGGTATACACTAACTCTTCTCCTATGTGACACTAATTTAACAACTTACTACTAGTTTACCTGATGTGCTTGAATAAATTGACTGGGACAGGTTCAATTCCACCCCTTGAAGGTGAGAGGTTTTGGCCAAAAGTGCAATGTTCCTTGGACCCACCACCAATTAAAATTGGTCCAGGGAGGATAAGGAAAAATAGAATTAGGGACCCTTTTGAGAACCCTAAAAAACCTGGCTGTTTGACTAAGACTGGTGTTGAGATGACCTGTTCCTTGTGCAAACACAAGGGACACAACAAAAGAAGATGTCCTAACAGGGATACAATACCATCCCCTCCTGAACCACCTACAAAAAGGCCTAGGGGCAAGCCTAGAAAAGATGGCCATCCACCTTATAGCAATGTGCCTGAAAACCCTTAAACTCAGCTCACACTTTCTGCATCAGCTCCACACCATTCATGCACTGCCCAGCCTGCACAATTTGGGAGAGGTGGCAGAGCTATAAGAGGAGGGTAAGGATCAAGAGGAGGTGCTCAGAGTTCTGCTACATCTGCATCTTCTTCTGGTGGAAGAGGACAAGCTCAGAGCTCTGCTGGGAGAGGAAGAGGTGGTAGGTACAGTGGTGGTAGGGAAAGACAGAGAATTCTAAGAGGAGTGGGTATGTACATTGCTGAGGATGGGAGTACAACCCAATGTATGTGTTTAAATAATTGCAAATTGGTTTTGTTATCTGTGTTGTTTCATTCAGCTATTCTAACTTAGCCTACTTATTCATGTGATAGGTGTGTGGCCAATCCAACAGGAGAGGAGGACAGACACCCAGGCCAAGCCATGACCAAAGAATGAATTTCATAATCCCAAGTCAGCAATCAACCCTCCATCAGCCATCTAAGTAAAAAGCATTTCATGTCAAAGACAGTTTAGTTAGCAAACTACTTTTGTATAGTAGTTCCAGCCTAATTACTATTAGGTTGAAGTGGATATTGTTTCACTTTAGAATTAGGCAAGAATTTCCTTTTGTGTATGACACTATTTGTTGTAGCCCTGGTATTTTGGATTTGTGAACTTATAGTTGGGTTGGTACATAATGTACCTATTTTGCCAATGACTTTGCATGATTATTTGTTTATGCGCCAAAAAAAATTACAAACATTTTGTTAAGGAAAAAACCATACTTCATTTCATTTCATTTCAAAAGGTACACACCATAAATCTTACTTTAAGTACAACACCATTATGGCAAAAAAAACCCAGGAAAATAAAAGGGCCATAAACAAATTAGTCTCATTCCTTGAACATTTCATGAGCTCAGTCCTCATGTCACATAGCTCTTCTTTCAGTTGTTGCACCACCTCCATTTTTTCCCGTTGTCCTTACATTATCTTCAAGTTGTCTTCAAGAAATTTGTTCTGCATCTCTAATTCAGCAATTGTAGTGTCCCTTTCAAATATTTCTAATTGCAGATCATCCCCATTAGTACAGTCAACCCACTTCATAAAATTGCAATTGGTATCCTGTAAGAAAAAATAAACTTTTTACTCAAAACCCTAATTACAATTGGGATTTAATTTTGCCTAACAAATAAAGTGAATTTCGACTAATTACGAGTAATTAAACCTTAAATAACTACAGGTTAACCATTACTGGCCATTTTGGGCATCCATAAAATTTGGATCCAATGTTATTCCCCCTCTTCACAGTTCGCACAACGGGGTCCAAACCACAAGTGCATTTTGTCGTGCTGTACAAACCTCCTCGCAAGTTTGAAGAAGACCTAGAGGAAGAAACTGGTACACTTCTACCTCCAGCCATTGCTAATGGTGAACTATGAGAGAAGAAGAAAAGGAGAGGATGTTGAAAACAAAGGAAAACAGAGAAGAGGGGGGGTAGAAACAGGAAAATAATAGAGGGTGAGAAAGAAGAAAAATATAGGAGTTTAAAAAAAAGAAAAAAAGAAAAAAAAAAAGAAAAATTAAAGTAACAACGCTTGCCACGTAGGACAGTAACCTGGTACAACAGGTTAAGAAACAGTGTTTGGTATGAGGAATGAAAGCCCATATCAAAGTTATGATTATTGCAGAATATTCTAAAGTTAGGATTAATAAAATGAAATTGTGCAAAGTTGGGATTAATAAATGCAATTTTTCCTTTTTTTTAAATAAATTAAATAACAATGCGGCTAACCACACCATTTGGCCCGCACAAACCCCTATAAAACTGATTTAGTAACCCCTATAATACTAACTGAATAACCTCTAACATTGACTAAGTA